GATTGCGTTTTTCAATTCTCATTTACCTTTTAACTTAATCTCTCCTTAGTCTCTCTCTCTCTCTCTCTTTCTCTTTCTCTCTTTGATAGGGAGAGACAGCCTGTCGCTTCTCTTCTGGAGCTCCGCTCAATATGTTTCTGGAACATTCGTATATCCGAGCTTGTCTCTGTTCGCAATGGTCTTCCTCTTTAAAGCTTCATTTCCTCTTCCATTACAAACCTTCTCACATGTGACTCCCTCTTCTCACCTTACCCCCCTCCTTCCCTCCCTCCCTCTTTCACTCTCTCTCTCTCGGGGTGTTAATATATTGTTCAAGCTTATATTCATATATGCATTATAGTAGAAAAAACTTTTTCATCAGATCTCCAGAACACCTCCGTCTTGATTAGAACTCATACGTAATAGGATATAATAAACAAGGTGCTCATGTCCTGAGCTTTTGGACGAAGCCCTAAATGGACTTCTTACGCAATTGCATTTCATTTAGAAACTCACATTTCCTGACGTCAAACGTGACTTTCAGTTGTTTTTTGAACAAATAAGGGAATTATTATCAATTGTTTAGCTTGCTACTTATTCATTTCATAAACACTTCCCCATTGCGCTTCTCTCACTTCAATGTGTGTCTTCCTTCATTCATCCTATCCTGTCTCCCCCCCCCCCCCTTTGGCTCTTCTCTTTGTCATTTTGCCTCATATTCCATATGCTAACTTTGCACGTGTAACACGTGCGTCATTTCCTGCTAAAACTTCATTTGCATCTCATGCCAAAACACTCATCGGTTGTCTCATTTTCTATTTTTATTTTGTTTTATCAATACTCTGCCAAAGAGTCAGATGTTTATGCGTTGAGCGTATGTGAGTATGACTCTCTGTGTGTGTGTTTATCAATTGACACTTCCAAGCTTGAAGTAACGAATCATAGATCTCAATGTTTAATTGAAATAATTATAATTTATTAATGAATTCGCTTATTCCACTTGAACCTCCTCCCACTCTTCCATTCTGACATATACCTCTACGGATGTTTAGTCCCTTCTATCCCCTCTCTCTTCACTTCATTCCCTCTCTGTCTCTCTCTCTCTCTCTCTCTCTATGGAATGAAATTGAAATACAGAATAATATATAAATATCAAACATGTTTTATAAAAGTTGAATGAGCATCCTTCTTCTCTTCTAACCTCTATTTTTACGAAAAATAAAACAAAAATGTTTCCAACAACAATGGTTTTTGAGATTCTGTTGATTTCGATGATGAAAGAGAGAGAGAGAGAGGATGGCTGGATACCCTTTACCTCCCCTTCCACCCTCTATAACCTTATTTGAATAAAAGACGTCCTTAAAGTATTTTATGAGATTTACTTTTAACTTTCCAAATATGAAAAACAGAATTTGAATTCACTCTCCATCTCTCTTTCTCCCTTCTTCTCATCATTCTACTCTCTCTTTCCCTCTCTCTGTACGTGATTCTGTTTTAATCTCCCCTCCCCCTTTCATTGCTTTCATATGTTCGTGAAGACTGCCACAAGATTCAAACATTCATCAACTTATCATTTTAATCTGTTATTATAGAGACAATCGAAAGAATCAATGTTTTTCCCTAATTGGACTTTGTTTGTCTTCAATCGAGTACAACATTCCATTTCGAAAATATATTTTTGACTCTTAGATCTCTAAACCATCTAGTCTTACCTCCTCTTCTCCAAGAGTAGTACAAGTGAAGAAAGATGAGTTCCAAGAGATTGAACAAGATTCTTCTTCTTATTTTCCTTTTTTTCGTTTTTTTGCTTTCGATTTGCTTCTGTCAATTAACTCGTGGAGCTAATTAGCATATTTGGTTGTACGTATAGCCGCAACGGAATTCATTTTGTCTGATGTTCACGCACTGACCGGTTGAGCCTTTTCCTATATGATTATGAGGAAGGAACAGAATGGTTGTGAGATAGATGAGAGTAGGAGGAGGAGGAGCTCCTGCTGTTTATGGTCCTCCCATAACATTTCTTTTTCAATCTGTTCATACTTTGATGTTTCTTTTCATTCACTACGCTACTTGCTCGTTTGACATGACCACGTCAAAGGACAGCTTCAACTTAATTATTTTGTATAACGATAACTATAATATGTGATATAGATGTAGACGTGTATAAGTGATCGAGATGATACCTTCTTATACGAGATTTCATAGAAAGCCATTCTTGTTTCGAGCTTTTCTAAGGTATCCTACAACTCTCCCAATTGTTCTTTTCCCTCCTTCTCTCCATATCCTCCCTCTCTCTCTCTCTCTCTCTCTCTCTCTTACTTTCTCTTGGAATGGAGAAAGTTCTAATATGTGAGAAAAAAAAGAATTATCGAGTAAATAGCTTGAAAAGTAAAATAAGGTCCGTTAAATCAAAAGGAAATGAGAAAGAATCGCAGAAACATTAAGCGATTACGGATAGCCAGAAGCCTTTCATTTCCTTTGTTGAATATTCTATCGATTTCCTATCAGAGACTAAGATGAAAAAACCTCTCACACTTCGTCTTCTCTCTCTCTCTCTCTTCACCTACTTCCTCAACTCTCTCTCCTTTTCACTTACTCTTAGTTGTTGCAAATAAAAATACAAAAAAGAAACGTTTTTGAAGTATTTTGAAGAAGGAAGAAGATCTCCATCATGCATCTCTCTCTCTCTCTCTCCCTCTCTCTGTCTACCTTCGTTTCTCTCTGAAGCAGAAGACCTCACTATGTCCTATTAATGACGTTGACTTATAAAGAATATTTGATTCTTTTATCCAATTTTTTCTTCTTAATTTCTAATACTTCATTGTTCTTTTCATTATTGATCATTCTCGACTACATCCCCACATTAAGCTCAAAAACTTTTTTATTTCTACAACAGTTTTCCTTCATCTCGTGAATACATTGCCATCAGCGAATGGCAGTCAGCACATTGCTGTCTCCAACTCGAAAAAAAAGAAAAAAAACTCGACTAAAAGTGGATTTTTCAATTTTCATCCCCCCCACCTCTCTCCGTTTCACTCACTTTGAGCATGCCTTCTTCATCTTCTTCTTTCCTCTTTCACATCTTCCGTTCTTCCAGATGTAACACATGAACTCTCTCTCTCCACGTTCGTTAGCCATATGAACATATCCTAGTTTGGTATTGAAAAGGTTTAAGGAATTGGAAAAGACACAAACAGCTTCTCCGATTTCCATAATCTCTTCCTCATTCATGGCTGAACTACCTAACCGTTTGAGAAACTCAAAAACGTTTTTCTCTTTACGAGCTTCAGCTTACTACTCTCCCTCCCCTCTCTTCCCATTCTCTTTTTTGATTTTTCAATCAAAAATGAGTTTTCTAATTAGGCAACACCAGTTTCCTTTCTCTTTTTCGTACTTTTCCATTTATTTTTCATTTTTTATTTGTCTACAAGGGCGAACATAGAGTGTCATTTACATAACCAACGTTACTCTTCCCCTTTCTCAACTCACACAACCCCAATTTCCCCCCCAGCCCCTTTCACTTTTCCTGCTTCCCTCTCTCTCTCCTTCTCACAATCCATACCATCTTAAATCGCAGCTTATCCATGCGTTCCAAAAATGGCTGCCACACACTATTATTTACACTCAAAACACAAAGTTTTCTCATCATTTCAACATCTTGATGTGACTCTCTCTCTCTCTCTCTCCCTCCCTCTCTCTCTCTCTCTCTTCACAACTCTTCTCATTTTCATTTTCTCTTTATCATACTCTATATCTCTTTCTATAAACTCTGACAAATAAAAAATTGCCATCTTATAATCCAACAACGCGGATATCACGTGATGACGTCACATCTTCCGTATTCTAAACCATTTTGGAAATTGTGAGATCCGCTGATCGGTTGGTTTGTTCCTTCATGCGGATATGGTTTTGGGTTTTTCATTGAAAGCTATCGCATAGCTTGCTTGTTCCTTATTAGTTTATTCAATGATGATGATGATCATCATCATTCTCACGCGCATATCTTAAATATTAAGTTGGAATGGCTGTTTTCATGAATATTTCAAAAACTTTTTTTTCTCCTGAAATTCCTTGTAATCTTTGAATGGAGGGGGAGAAAAGAGTAAGCGACACATAACGAAAGGAAAATGGAGAGAGTTTAGTGTAATTGCTGAAATGTGGCAAGTAAGGTAGAAGGAAAAGAGAGAGAGAAACAGAGAGAGGTATAGAGGGAAGGACTGAAAGTGAGAAAGAGGAATATCATGTTGATTGAGAGAGAGGGGGGGATGGAGGGAGAGAGTTGTTTCAACCAATTTCTGCCATCCAAATAGGTTCAAAATAGGAAAAAAGAAAATAGGAAAGATATAACTTCCTTTTTTGGTATCAACTTAAATATTCAGTATTTGATAAAAGAGCCCATACTAATTCCTCAAAGAAGCTAGAAAAAGGATCAAATTGCGGGACGTGCTTCCCAGTATCCCTGTGTTATCGTCTTTTGTTCTCCCTCGATTGCTTTTCGTGTTGACGACAAATTCAGAGTCTGTCTTTTCATTCTTGCATAAATTAAACCTTTTTTTTTCATTAGACGAAAAAAGCTTGAATGTTTATCTTAGTGTTATGACTATATATGGAGAACTCAGCTTTTGAGATCTTTTTTTTGCGCATTCAACATGGAACGCCTTGCCCTCCCCCCCCCTATCAGCCTGTTCGACTCTCTTTACGTATACTCTTCTAGTCAGTCTATCATCCTACAAATTCTCTCTCTCTCTCTCATAGATACATATGAGCTTTTGCTTTGTTTCATTTGCGTCTCATCAAATCAACTTCCTCCCTCATTTATTGGTTTCTTCATCTTTATAAGATAATCTTTCACTCAAATCCCTCTTCTCTCCTTTGCTTTTCCCTTTTATGTTCATTTGCAGTTTTGCCAATAAAATATTTTTTTTTGTTCAAAACTATTCGCCGCTTCGTACATATCACCTTCTCCTCCCCTTTCTTTCACTTATAGTTTCTTCAATTTCATATTCAGATTGTCCTTTCCAATGACAACAACGGGACTTCCTATACTTGCGATTTGTGAGCCTTCGATCTTCAATGACATTCAGAAGACAGCTCGATTATTTGGCGGAATGCCAATTGCTGTATTAGGCATGATCACAAATACAATAAATATCATTGTTTTCATTGATCCTGAGATGAGATGTAGTTTGGTCAATCATTTTCTATTGGTAAGTCTATGCTCATCCTCCTCCCTAAACATACAATACCCATTATCTACATGAGTCAGCTATGATAAGACAATCACAATCTCTTTCAGGTGTTATCCGTCTCAGATCTGTTATTATTAATATGTAACTTCTTCATGTTAACATTTCCTGTCATAGCATCAATGAGTGATTCAGTTGCATTACATGATACTTATCCCAATATCCTCTGGTAGACAATAACCTTATAAGGAAACTTGAAAATATATTTTTAAGGTATTCATTTCCAATTGGATTGAGTACGCAGACATGTGGAGTTTACCTAACTGTTCTTGTATCTGTTCATAGGTATGAGACAACAACTATCCATATATAGTATGTGTTATGAATTCAGATATTTGGGTGTTTGTCATCCGTTTCGTGCCAAACGTTGGGTTAGTGGGAAGCCAGTTAAATGTGCCATAATTGGTAAATTAAATAATCAATATCTATCTAATACACATATTGCTATCTCATATAGGATCAATAATCTTCAGTATTGTCATAAACATCCATACATGGTTTGAATTGAACACAGCTGAATGTTACTCCAAGGAGTTCCAACGAACTATTCAGTGAGTGAAAACCTTTTATGGCTGCAAACAACTGTGTGTCGTCTCCATTGCAGAACAATCCGTTTGACAGAACTTAAAACGAATCACACATATAATGTGATTACTAGATGTATTCTTTATACTTTGGTTATGTTTGTAATTCCTTTTATTGCTTTGATTATCGTCAATTGGAAAATTATTGTCGCTCTAAAGGAAAGTACCAGAATGAGAAATTTGCATTCGTCCAGAAAAACCAACCAATCGTAAGTTTTCACATGTTTTTCAACACCTCACTCTCTCTCTCTCTCTTCTTCTTCTTCTTTCTCTCTCTCTAGTTTGCCCTCTTCATTAGTAACTCTCTCTTAGTCGTTCTCTTTTTTATTTTCCTCTTCTCTTCCTCACTCACTCAGTCATCCATCTCTTCATTATAAACACTCTCTTATCTTTCTTGCTAACAAGTCCTTCTACTAACTGCTCTCTCTCTAACCTTCTCTCTCTCTCTCTCCCTCTCTATCATTCCTCACTCACTCTCTCTAACTATCTCCAATTTCTATAAAAAGTACAATAATGATATGAATGAGAATTGCATTAACCTCACCAATCACCTGTTGCATATGTTTCGCACAAGTACAGTTGTCGGCACCTCGTATTGTGCACACACGAGAAGCATCCAAAAGAAATATCCAAAACTTGCAATATTCCAGTCGTTTAATGCACAATTTTCGTCTTTTGCGAAACGCCAAGTATTCTGAATTATTTGGAAAATTCAGTAAACTAAACTTCAAGTTTGTCATTTAAAATTCATTTCAATTAAGCTTCATCTACTTCAATTCTATGATAGAGATAGATAAATGCAAAGCTGAATCATGTATTCCTAAATGATGTTTTACTATTTTCAGTCCATTACGTAATCCATCATTATTAAAAACAAATGGAAATTCAGTCAGAGATCGAAGTGTCACCTTGATGCTTCTTGCTATTGTCGCCATCTTCCTATGTTGTAACTGCTTAGCTTTCTGTAATAACATTTATGAAATCGTACGAGATGCTACTGCAGCTGAAGACATCTCAATGGAAGCCTCCACTAGCAACAATACAGTTAGACTCCATCCACATTATCTATTTTTCTCATAACATTCCATCTTAGGAAGCATATGACTCAGCTAGCAGTCAAGATACATTTGATTTCTCCGTCGAACTCAGCAACATCCTCATTTCACTCAACTCATCATCTTCTATGTTCGTCTATCTCATATTCAGCAGCAAATATAGATCCATCATCAAACACTGGTTGGGATTAGAGAAACGAAAGAAGGTTATCTATCCATTTTCACTATCTCAATTCATCATTAATCTGTTAAGGTTAACGGAGTTGCTTTGACAACAGCGATGGTTGCTCAGAAAGCCCTGGAGTTATCCATATTACCGGATGAAGCTGAAGGTTCTTAATGTCACAAATGTCATTTAAAGTGTTTCTGATACAGCTAGAAGAAATCGAAGAGAGGCTCGCCTGGGAATGTTCATCAAAAAAACAAAAGCAATTCGGAACCAATTAACAAGTGCTCATAGTGTTGGCTCAGTTAATGATGTTCGAGTAAGTTGCACAACCGCTCCAAATGTCTGACGCTTAAACAATGAATTTCGGATTTTTTTTGATCGCGTCTAGACGCTACGTGTTCACGTGAAAACCAAACACGTGAAAATCTTGTATTAGCATAATCCAAATGTTTTAGGAGGCTTTATCAGACGAAAACTGTGAAGTAGTCGGAGAAGCTGGAGATGATTTAGACATTGATCGAGGCAATAGAACAGACGAACAATCTCAATAACAAAATGATATTACAGATAGTTCACATCGAACAAGTTCACGACGAAAGTTATTGCGATTTGCAACAATACAATGAAGAAGATAAACTGTTGTGTATCTGCGTGTGTGTGTGTGTGTGTCTGTGTGCGTGTGTGAAGCTCATGTTGTTCGATGGATCGAAGAGTATTTCTCACTCACAAGTCCATTTTTGTCAATATTATCACGGGTTTTTATATTGTTAACTTCATTTAGTCTAATAAATATTTATTAAAACTTCATTAAAAACTTTGTTTTCTCCTATTTGCACAGGTTTGGCAAATTAGCTTCACAACCTTGCATCATGATGTAATCAAGCCTATATAAGGAGGGATAAGAATGTGTAAAATATCACTTGCATTGCGATGAATCTTCATCTACTTTCATTAGTTTTCTTCATCATTGTAAAGGTAACTCGTATCAATTCGCTCCCTCCAAACCATTTTCAATCTCAGGAAGCTCAAACTGATTCTCATGAATCTCTTCAGCAAACTACGCAGGTTCTAAACCCTTTCTAATTTCTATTTGCTTTCGAACAAAACATTGTAGAGTACCAAAGATCAACCTGAACTGGTAGACATTTTATCAACCGAGCCTATCGTCGATGTAACCGAATCTATCCAACAGACGACAGAAGCTATTCAATCTGATCCGACTGAAGCTACTACCGAATCGAGCCAAGTTTGTATTGAAAAAGTTCAACACTCAGTTGTTTTTGTGTTTGTAAACGTTACTCTCATCAAGTTAAATGAGCTTCAGATAGAGGACAGCACACATAAGCTCAATGATGACTTACTCACACAAACGGGAGGAACGGAAAGTAAAGAAGAAGAAAAGGATAATACATGCGTCGATATCACAATACCTCATCCTCTCATATGTCAGCATTCAAAGGATTTCTGTAAAAGGAAAGGGTAGGATGAAATCCTTTCCTCGCTTTGCCATTGTCTTATTCTATAGATATGAAAGTTTGATGAAACAAAAATGTCCAAAAACATGTGGCTACTGTTCTTCAACGACCAACATTACCAGAAATGTCATGGTTCCTACCGAAAGTATGAGTACAATCCCTATTTTCATTTATCAATACTTTCTAGAATGCGTGGATCTCTTACTGAATCTGAAAGATGGAACACCCGGCTGCTTACGTTATAAGAAGCTCTGTAAGCATCGCAAGTATGTTCCTCGATCCTTTGTTTAACATCCAAACACTTGTATTCAGAGCTGGAGAATATGTTAGACTTCAGTGTCCTTTAACCTGTGGATTGTGTGTTCCCAAAGAACAACAACCAAAAAGTAAGATTTAATTCCAAATGTTTCCCTCAACTCAACATTCTCCTAAGGCTGCTATGATGAACCTTATGTTTATGGACGCACTACGTGTCAACAATTAGAATCAAGATGTGATCTCGATGAAGTGAAAGCCAAATGCCCAGACATGTGTGGAATGTGTCCTCAGCAGAAAGATATCGGTTCGTATTTGCAGAAGAAAAAAATCATATTAATTGTACTCTTGCAGTATGTATGGATAAGCTGAAGACTTGTGACGCTAAGAACTGTGATCAAACCAACTTGCGCTTGTACATGACTGACATCTGCCCGGTAACATGTGGTTACTGTAACGCCTCAACAGGAGAATTCTTCTGAAGTTATTCATCTAATAATTAATTAACTAATAACTGATTTACCATTTGATTGTATCCATTGTAACTGTGTGAAGACGTAATTTTTTTCTCGAAAATAAAAGTATAATAAGTGTAAAGAGAAGACACCGCGAAAGCATCAGAAATCAATTAAATCTTCGCCGCGCTAGACATAACATGAACATGTTGCACTTTGCACGACCGCTAACTTTCCAAAACATATCGGAATGATTTTTTGCGCTGACGTCGTCACTTTCCATTTTCATGCTGGCACTACGTGACCGGTCGCCTCCCGGCTACCACCAGTTTTTCAAAATGAAATTTATGCAAGACCACCAACTGTTTTGAACTAACAAAATGGTTTTCATTCAATTCTTGACACGACTGCCGTTTTCATTTTGAACTGAATGATCCGTTTGTGTTCCAGCGCCCACAGTATGCCGCATTAGAGATAATTTAAAACGAATTATACGTTCTTGCATGTAAATCTCCCGAGAATATTGTTCTAAGCTACCAATTACTTTATTTAACGATATTAGAAATAATTTAAACATACAACAACTGTTATGACACTAGAATTCTGAATAACCAGACCCAAACTGGCAGATTAGCTAACGATAGAGCTAAGATATGTCTTTGTGTACTTGTAACATATTGATAATAATTTAATTGTTTAAGAGCTGTAATACACCGAGTATCATAGAACCCGCAAAGGCAGCATCATCCAATGTCTGAAATGTGACAATATCAATAATCCTTTCAAGTAATACCACCTTGGTCGTAACAATCCAATTGTTATAGCCATAACTGATGATTAACATACAAATAGTTATCTGAACGTGAAGAGATTGAACAAGCAGAATCAGCATATACAGACCTTCGATAATCTTGGCCCAAATGATTGGTACAAAAAGTTGGAGATACGTGCTCCGATCCTAGACTTGAATAATATAAATAAGAACACCGGTAGAGATCGCGAAACACGATCGATATTTGGAATGGCTGAAATGAGAGTGTGTTCAACGTGCTATCAATGTCTAATAACCTGGAAGATTGTTAATATTTTCGATAGTTTGCTTTCTATATACAGCTGACAACCCTATGGCCCCATTAACAACAGCACACAGACCTGCGAGGCACAAGGTGTTGAGACTTTGTGTATTCTGGAGCTATATCAACCTTTATCAACAGAAAAGTTAATGAAGGAACTCACCTTAACTACCATCACAGAAGTTAGACAAACGCACAAACTGGCTAAATAAGGATTTAACGTGGCAATTATACAAGCCAAGCTTAATAGTATGGCTTGATAAACACGTATGATCGAAGCAGGAAGGCTATAACACGCATTTACATCTATCTAGCATATTGTAATCTCACTGGACTATAAGCCAAAAGGGGAATCTGAAGATCATCCTGCACGCAACAAATGCGAAAACGCATGAAGAGAAGATGATATATTCTTCAATCTTTGTATTGTAGTAGAGAGATAAAGCTCTGTAAACGTTTTCATACATCATTGTACTCATGCAAATATCTCACCCAGCACTCATAACACACATCGAGAACCAAATGCCATGACTGATCCTTGCTTGCACAGTACCTGCAGAAGCAGTTTCCAAACGTATTATAGTCTGAACTTACTGAATATGCGAGATGCTTCAATTAATACCAGAACACAACTTGTGTAGATGAGGCCGGACAAAATTGTATTTGTATGCATTAGTGAAGTCTGAATATTGGGGTGATCACTGTCTTCTGATCGTTGTACTCACCCTATACCAGGTACGGAATATATCAACAACTAAATATAAGTCATATTGGCATGGTGCTTTTCCAACCATCAAAGAAATTCCGTAGTCTACAAAAAAATGTGCACGAAGCAAGTAATCACATACCAGCTTTTCCTTCCTTGGACCAAAACCATGCACGCAGGGAATGATTAGTAAAATATGAAATCCGGCGGAAACCATTGGGGTAGATTACAGAGTAGTTAATATCTGAATAAACAAAGAAACCTGCAAAACTGAAGTTGAAAACTACTGAGTGGGCAAGTAGGATTCAGAGTAATCTCGACAGAGAACATCAGAGTAGTATTCAAATGAATCAACGATACGACCTCAACCCCTTTCTGAAACAAAAACAAAATTTCTGTTTTAATCGACATTCGCAACACCTCCATCTTCAATCCATTCTTGTAAACGCTTAAGTGATCGATGAAAGTTGAATTTTCGAGTTTTTTCCTCTCCAATGCTAACCTATAAGATATCATGAGCGAATTCAGTTGTAATTTGATATCCATACTGTCCCGATAAACCTTTGGGGAAAGAAGCCATTTCCTTCTTCTTTATCTGTCGAACGATTTCCGTAGCTGATGTCCGTTCATTTTTTCGTTTAGCATCCATATAAGCCGATAATGATCTTGTGACATGTCTGAAATATTTAAAATTCCAATTTTTCCAATCAGGCGAGAATGTTTCATGACGCGCGAATAGTTCTCACGTAACCGCCACGTAAAATGTTTACGTGGCATTTCACGCAATCACTTGAACGAAGTTTCATTATTCATTTTCAGTTTCAAGTCTTCATGAGCTGGTTGGTCATCGCGGAAGTGAAAATGTGAGTTGTTTCTCTTTTATTATCTTGATCAGATAGTCCAAACCTTGTTAGTTGATTGCACCATAGTATACATAAGTGGTCTATTGGCATGTTCACTGTTTCTATTGCCCAGCTAGGAAGATGAGCTACCTGAAGCCATATAGATCATTATGACTTATTACTGTGTCCCAATTCACCCTAGATATGTTAGTCAGATGATCAGGTACTAGGAAATCTTTCTCCCCTCCACTGTAAGATAGAATACCCACTTGCGCTAGTTCTTTTTTCTTCACCTTAAAACATAGGACAATAAGATTCAAACGTTTGATACTCACATTCCAAGCATTGTGCATCTCATCATAGAATTCAGACATAGGTGAATCTATGTATACAGCTGTAAAATGTTATGTGAAGGATTAATCCGAAGGATAATAACGTACGGGGAGCAGCCAAGGGTGCTGCTAGAGTTATAATTAAATCGAATGTGTTCGTGTCAAAGTTGGAAATCGCTGGTAAACTATAAGCGAGCACACCACCTACGGAGTGGCCAATTAAAATGACCTTAACAAATCATTTTCACTCCTTAATAGATGATATGAGCTCACTTTTTTATATTTGCATCGAGAGTGAACTGTTTTCAAAAAGGAAACGGCTTCATTCACGAATGCCCTTTGCTGGTATAGGATCTTCCCGCTGAGAATAGAATGCTCCTTAAGCAAAAAAATATTTGAAAAAGATAGTAAAGTTGCAACCTCGTCAAAATCTATTGTGAAGAACTGCAGCTTATATGGGTACTTATACATATCAGTCTTGTTCATCATCACAGATGCAACTGATCTAACCTTGAAAGATACCGTTTGTCATGTAACTTATGATACATTTAACCTGCTGAAATGATCCTCCACTACCTGGGATAAATAGAACTGCGACATCTTCAGGAAGCGTGTTTCTGAAGTATCTCCTAATTAGATCAGAAAACCTTTATGTACACAACTTTCTTATTGTCCCCTCACAATACTTCAACAAAGAATAACCAGTATCCGCAGAATCTTTAAGTATTGACTGAAAAAGGGCAAACGTATAACCTATGTTGCTTGGCATCTCACGTGGAATGTTATGGGTCTCCACATGTAAGTCATTCCACAATCATTTTTCTCGTGAATCAAATTGTGAGTATTGTACAATCCATATACTAGACCCAATGTTAAGAATCCCAAAACGTTCAGTATAGCCATATCTCCGTAAACCCCTCCCCTGTACAGCCTCATCTGAAAAAAAGTTGATGCACCTTCTTTGAGACGTAGTTAGCATTTTAAAACACCTTCTTAACAGAATAATAAAAGATACACAAATTTCTCCATTCAACTAATGAGTGAGTCCTCGGTTTACATAACTTAAAAGGGGTCAAGCAAACATTATATAATGGGAAGGGAGAAATCGTTGAACCAGAACAGTAATACACATTTGAATTATTGTAAGCGAATGAACAGTTACTCTATACTGTTAATTGTAGAAAACCTCTTTCCTTCATTCTTTTCGAGTCTAAGATGATTCAACTGACTGCTCCGCTGATTTTTTTTTTCTCGAGAGCTTATTTGCCACGTACCCATTTTTGCTTGCACGTCGCTCCACCCTTTTATAGAAAGCTTGGACCGAAGAGTTATTAGTCATAGACTCATACACTAAACGTTGGAATAACAGGAACGGCTCTTCTGCTCTGCTATGTCTAAGTATATTCAGAAAGTATATTATAACAGCTTTCAAGGCTCAGCTTATCTTGTCTGAATTTAGAAAAGCAAATTGAAAGCCTCAACAATCAAAACAAAATTTTTTACACTTTAACCCGCTATCTCCTTTCTTATATTTTGGTTTTTATTCCTCCGTCAGTTGAAACCTTTTTTTTCAGGCTTTAATACCATGTATTCAACCAAACGTGAATTTTCTTTTTCCTGAAATTTTTTTATCTCTCTCTTTCTTTTCTACTTAAACAGATAATTTTGATACGGACGAAAGTTTCTGGCCCTCCAATACAGAAAAGAAAATTCAAAAAGTTTGTTCTCTTAGTTCTATTTCACTCTCTTTTTTTTTTCCAAAAAATTTCGTTAATTCCTTGTCAATTTAGTACAGACCGGTTATTTGTGATACTATGTCGCTTTTCCAGCCCATTTTTCACTTCTGTCCTCTGTTTTCTTTCTCCAATCTATTTTTTGCAGCTATCAGCTCAAATGATAAGTTCTGATGTTATCAAGAGAGCGAATCCAGCTGATGATTATGAGCTTCTTCAACGGGTAGGATCTGGAACATATGGAGAAGTTTACAAAGCACGCCATATACGGTAACGCTGTTTACAACTATACATTATCCAATTGCCATTTGAAGCACTGGTGAATTCTCCGCTGTTAAAGTTGTAAAATTAGAAGCTGGAGATAATTTTGCTGTTATCCAACAAGAAATATTAATGATCAGGTTGAACATACATCAATTAAACATATTTTACACAAACAATACTCTGTAGAGAATGTTCACATCCAAATATCATCGCTTATCATGGCAGTTATCTCAGACGAGACAGGCTATGGATTGTCATGGAGTATTGTGGTGGTGGCTCTTTACAAGATATTTACCATAGTAAGCTGTGAAACGATTCTTTCTTTCATAACTCATACTTTCTAGTGACGGGTTCCTTAACAGAACTACAAATCGCTTTCGTGTGTCGAGAAACATTGAAAGGCTTGAACTATTTGCATACAATGGGAAAAGTCCATAGAGATATTAAAGGTGCTAATATTCTGCTCACAGGAGCTGGAGATGTAAAACTAGGTTTGAACATATAACGCTGAAGCACCTCACACATCCTTTTAAGCGGATTTCGGCGTTGCTGCGCAGATAACAGCTACCATAGGTAAAAGGAAATCCTTCATAGGAACTCCGTATTGGTTAGTGTTCTAACTGAGAATTTGTTGTAATATAATGAATAGGATGGCACCTGAAGTTGCATGTGTTGAACGACGCGGAGGATATGGCGTTCAATGTGACGTTTGGGCTGTCGGAATCACTGCAATTGAGTTGGCGGAGTGTCAACCTCCACTTTTTGATCTTCATCCTATGCAGGTTCGTTGACTGGAAGCTATTGTCCATAATACTCTTCTCTAGGTTCTATACCTGATGACAAAAAATAATTATAAGCCTCCACATCTCAAAGACAAGTATAGATGGTAACAAGCTTGAGAAGAACATATCCTAATCCAACTGCTTAGGTCCCCATTATTCCACGATTTTGTGCGGCAGTGTTTAATCAAGAATCCGAAGAAAAGACCTACACCGGACAAAATCTTGGGGGTATTCACACTTTCAATTAATTCAACTCATGTTTGTTTAGAGTCATCATTTCGTTATGGGCTCGTTGAGCTCTCGAATGACTAGAGATTTATTGGATAAGGTATCGGTTGATGCAAAGACTTTGATATGTATTCTGTTGTTCAGGTTAACGGTACTCCATCGAGTCATTTGAGACGAACATCATCTAATACTGGAAGCGATGAAGACGATGTAAGTCTTTGTGATTCAGGAAGTTAATTATAAGTTGCGCAGGATGTTGTTTCTAACATTCCCGGATATATGAGAGCTGGTGTTGAAAACGACTCTCCGTATACTGGCGAAGACAGTACCCTAGGGAATCCTCTTAGTCAAAACTCGGAACGCTCTTACAATAGTGACTGCGCTATTCCCCCACGGGTAAGATTTATAAATGGCTCACTGGAAGCATTTCTTATTTAGGAGATGCAACCTTTGCCCGATGTGGTTGGAGGCGATGCTCTTCTTCATGATTCTAATGGCCTCATAAACGATGATGATGGCACTTTGAAAAGTTGGAGTTGTTTGCATTCATGACACAATTTAGCTTGTTTAGCCCCTAGAGCACCGCCGAGAACGTTAAGGCAAAAGCAGCTATTAAAATCTGGTTCAACAGAAAATATTTGTCTCAGACAACAGTTAGATAGTAATGCTGATCGTCCTAAAACTTTTTTCGGGTTGCCGATTACACCAAAGGTGACACATCAGTTGGTGATGTATATTAACATATCGGATTCAGGTCGCAATGGGAGCTTGCTTTTCCAAAATGCTTTCCGATTGTTCCTTCCGTATTAACTGTGCTTCATCATGGATTCATCCGGGTTCATGCATTCAGTACATCTTGTTAGGTTGTGAAGAGGGAATCTATTCAATTGACACTAGTAAACTGCATGAAAGTGATATGACAAAGGTGGGTATCAGTACAAAACTGTTTGTTATTTGTGTTACAGATTCATGATCGAAGGTGCTCCTGGATGTATGTACATAAAGATATTCTGATGGCTATGCAAGGGCATACTAGTTATCTGTATAGGTATACGTCTTTCAGATTATATTTCTCAAACTCAGCTTTCAGACATGACTTAGTTGCTCTAACACAGAAGAACTTAACATTGAAGATTAGCAAGCCTATGAATAAAGTTCCTGAGAAGTATCTGCCTAAGAAATTGGCCATAACTGTTAGATTAGCAGAAACTAAGTGAGTACAGAATTTTGTTTACATTTGTTCATTCTATTCTTTGTTCAGGGGAGCTTTACAATGTACTGTTTCAAAAGGGTCGGGACCACACAGTGGTTCAACGTTCCTATGTTGTTGTGTTCCGTCATCCGTCCTTCTCTTCCAATGGTATGCACCTATGAATAAGTTCTTGCTGATTCGAGCGACTGATCTATCTCCGCTGACGCGTTTTCCACTCAAACCATTTAAGGTATTTTATATTCATTGTAGGTCTGTATTGAACACTTGATATAACGTTTCAGTTGGTTAACTTGAGAAATAGTGATTTCCCACAAGTATGTGTTGGTATTCGACCATCATCTAGTCCAGATTCGTATCAGTTCGAATTTTTGAAATTCGGAGATCATAAGGTGCCCCAGTTCATAAGTTATATGAATCATCATGTTTTTGTCGAAGGTTCGAGATCCTGAAGCTACATTAGAAGTCACGGATTATGACTCTTTACTGGAAGTAGCAGGGATGGTGCAACTGAACAGAGAAACACTAGCCTTTGCTCACAAAAACAAGGTATGAGACATGATGCCCTTTGGGAAACATTATAATAATCTGTTACAGATAGTATTAACTGATTTAGAGGGACGTCCGCGAAATAAACCCTCAGTTTTTACTTTCAATTTCCATATTGAACATATCCATGCTCTAGAAGATTCCTTGTTAGCATTCCATGCTAATGGCGTTCAGGTCCGGTTGCATTCTGATTCCAATTACCCAAATAATTGAGTCAATTTATTTCTCTCATTACAGGGCAGATGTTTGAGCAATAACACAGTTTCACAAGACCTCTCAGATATCTCTAAAATATATAAAGTGATAGGTTCTGATAGGTGAGCAAATTGATTTAGATCAGAAGTTCACAACCATTTTTTAAGAGTTATTGTTTTAAAATCGCATTCTTTGACTTCGCTCGCCTCGCATGACGTACATATTCTGTTGGGACATGAAGCCACCCCTTGTGAGTAAGCGGTATCCAAAAGACTATGTGCAGTACGCTCACAGGAAGTAATAAGTGACCTTTTCTAGTCCATATTGACTTTATTTGTAAATTTGCCTTGTAATTCATAAGACAGGAAGATTTAACACTTTTCTCAACAGGTATTTATTGTTCGAACCCTAATAGCCATTGATCTCCAGTATTTATTTCTCCAATGCAATTTGATTCTCTACCGCATCAGTTAAGTATTATCACTCTAGTTCATACAATAATCTCGCTAATAATCTTCTGAATGCATGAACGTGTCGTTATGGCTTTTGTACGTTTCCGTCCTTTGCAATAAAAATCTGATTTTCAAAAAATGTATACTGACAGACCAAAGCCTCACATAGCAGTACGACACCCACGCGAACCGACAGACTTCTTCTCGGAGTCCTTTTCCATATCTGACGCGTAGTTAGTGTTGTAAAAGATATGATAACCTTTTCGTGACGCTTGTTTCACAATTTCATAAGAATTACATATACTTTTATATCATTATAAAATGCCTCCGTGCATATCACACAAGTCGGCGCGCCTTTCAAATTCTAAATGGTCCCGAGCAGTAAAATAGTAAATTCAAAATTCGTGAAGTTATAGCGTTCTTTCAATTTTTTGAATTCGTTTAAATTTTTGTTTTTATTATCTTGTTTTTTTCGGATTTTTAGATGATCTGTGGAGCTGATGGCCCAAAATCGTTTACGCTATTAGTAAGATATAGTTCGTTCGTAGTTCTTAGATATTCTCATTTAAGCCCGAGGCGTTAATTCTAAGCAATGTTGCTGTTTCCCCCGACACCATCACCTTCGATCAAAATAATGAGCGATTCTCTTTCGTTTTCACGTTTGAGGATGAACGCAAACTTCAGACATATAGCTGTTCTTTTGAGGAAGTTATTGTTCTAAAGGTTAGCCCATCAGCAATCAACGTTACGACCGCATATTCTAGGCATCCACTATTGAACCCTATTTTCATGTTTTTAGCCTGAAGTTGAAAACTTCGGCAGCTCTACCTTTGTATGATTTAATGAAACCCAAAATTGTAAACAGCAGAGGGTCAGTTCAACCTCATTTGTTGCTTACCCGCCTGTTTGTAGGTTCGATCCAGAAATTATTCTAACTTTATGTCTCTCGGAAAGCGCTTTTGATATCGTTATCGGTATTTTCCAGCAATCTATCCATTATTGTGATGTCACAGGTTTTTTCTTTTTGTTTCGTCTTGACCTCTGTGTTTCCAGATGCTCATGTATTCCTTACCTCTCTTGGAAATTTGTATTCCCTACTCTTGTATAAAAAAGAAGACCCGGATCTAGAGAACGATGCTGTTGAGGTAGATGTTCTTCCTGATCTTCTTGAATGCTCTATGCCAGAGCAATCAGTAAGTTCAACAATGGTTTTTCTAGTTTTATCAATGTCTTCAGGAAAACACATGTGAAAATATTTCCATCTCACCTATTTCTTCGATGTCTCCTATAAAACTAAGAGCTGAAGTATCATCAGAACCATCTAGTCCGACATCTTCTCCTTGTCCTACAGAAGTTATCGAGCAACATATGATTTCCTCTACTGTAGAATTAGATGAAACTGAACAAGCTAGCAAGTACAGTAGCTTGAATTCCAGCTTCTGTTTCGATTCTGAAAGTCAGGAAGATGTGGAAGATGCGGAAGAAATAGATATTGACGAGCTCCCAGAAGAGTCTAAAGATTGGAGTATTGCGGACGAAGTGCAGGAGCAGCAAGAGAAAACCCAAAACTGTGATGAAAAACAGATTGAAAATAAGGAAATTCATAAATCGCCCACACCTGTTCAGTTGCTTCCTCCAGCTCAAACTCCTAAATCGAACGTCGTACTCACCAAGGGACAGCCGATAGTCATAGAGGAGTTATCCAGTGATGACGACGAAGTGAGTGCACCTTTTGCAGACTAATGCTGATGTGAGCTTCAGACAGAGGAGCAACCTATGGGAGATTTACAACTCAAGTTTGTGGATGGTTCAGTATTCATTTTTCCTCGAGAGTCGTTCGAGAAGAACATCTGTCCAAACTCATGGTTGAATGATATCATGATCGATTTCTTCATGGACTGGATATCAAAGGAGTGTTTAACAGATGAAGAGTAGGTCATTCCCTCACCTCACTTGTCATAGTTCAGTTACAGCCGGAGAAATGTACATATTTTTCATACTACATTTTTTACAAAACTATTGCGTTTAAAAAAGAGCATCGGGATCCCATCCAATGGCACAAAGGCTCAAATTGACCAGCATGTAACCTTTCGTACACCTTCGTTCTCTCATTTTGATTTTCAGATGAACTTTCTGTTTAATAGGTTATATCCAATTAGGAAAAACCAGATGAAAATTGACTACCTTCAGAAAGAAGTTCTAATGATACCCGTATTCTGGGAAAATCATTGGTTTGTCGCTGTGCATGTTGAACGGGTCAAACAAACTGCTTTCAGGCTTCTAGCTATGATACATGGTATGCACAATTTAGTCAAAGATCATCAATCTGAACAGAGGTGCCGTATTATCATTGTTGACAGCAAAATGAAAGATCCGCTGAATGCGTAAGGCTTCTAGATACTTGAGCGTATACTCATTAAGATCCATTGCAGACACATCCTACCATCTATACACCAGCAGATTTTTGAACTGCTCAAGGGATATGTTCAACTCATTGTTTATACGCAGTTCAACACCTTTCCTACATCTAAATTCACGTGAGTACCATCTTGTCTATTGATGATATGATTTATCGTTCAACAGATTCATACGATGTCATAATCTACCGGATCAGAGAAATAGTTATGATTGTGGCCTATTCTTAGTCAGATATATAAAGACGTTTTCATTAAGCAGGGATTTCTTGGTATGACTTTCTAGTTTCATCCTCTAGTTACTGACGGATTGTTGCAGAAGCTTGATGACATTAAATTAGCCGGAATCCGGGTGCCTCAGTCAGACACAGCATTCCAACTAAAGATTGACGAAGATCGTTCGCAAATGAAACAATTAATTGAGGAACATTTGATTCGCTGATTTGTAAATCTTCACTGTTATTTTTTCAGTGGTAATATTATATAAAAATTTATTTAAATATGAAGTAAAACATATATTATAGGCTTTGACCAAAATTTTAAATTACAGACCTTTTATTGCTAGGCTTTGGAAAACTTGTAAGACTATACACATTTGTACAACAACTGACTGGCAACTATATGATCACATTTTAGAAACTAAAATTTTAATGAACGAGTTACGAGCTTATGTTAAGAGATCAAAATGGCTAAGCCTTGTAGGTTGACAAAATATAAAGTGGAAAATAATTCATTTCGAGGATAGTCGGCCCAAAAGTGTGCAGGAATAGATAACCCGTAGAAGCTAAAGTGCTTTAATCGCATATCTTTTCCGTTCCCTAGTGCCATCATCTTACATAAAAGAAAATTTTCAAAGGCTCAAAGTCAAGAACAGGAGAAAAAAGAAAAAAACATAAAAAGAGAAAAAAACCACCAAAAAGTCAGTGACCAGGGTGTCAAAGACAAAGGAATTTTGCAGAACGTAGTGAAATCTGTTCACCTGTAAGTAAGGTGAATACATTATGACATCTGCACGTTTTGAGGTAAAATTTGTAACATAACAAAAACACCGCGAAGGATTATACGTTCGGACTGTTCAATGATTGAAACTCTAACAATCGTCTACGACGATCAAGAGTGTTCCTCAAACATTCTTTTTCTTGTCGCAATACGTCACGTACAAGACCTCGAACAACCGATGAAACAATCATTTCATCACTCATTTCATCTTCAAGGATGCAAAATGATCTGAATAGAACAATGATATCAGTGAAATCATATTATAGTCACCTGGACGGGGTAGATGGTGTCAGAGGAGTAGATGCTTCGCTTGTGTAACCTGGTTCATTCAAAGACAGTATGACAGGAGCTATACCAAGAAGAAGCGATGCTTTTCTTTCTACAGCAGAAGTCTCCTCATATACCTACAATCTAGATGTAGGAGCGCTAATGAGTTATAATCCTTACTACATAATTAACAAGATCCGTAACAACAGTTTTAACGTCCGCTTCACAGGCTTCATAACCGGCAGAGTCTGAACAGCTCATTTGCATTGCTTTCCTTTCTTTAGCACTTGCAACTTCAGGAATAGGTTCATGTATTTTACTTGTAACCCGATCTAATTCATTGATGTGAGAAGGAAAACTGTTGGGAATTACCTGACGACTTTGTCCACAGGTTCAGAGAGTCCGGCAAAGACATACATACTGGAGCTGACGAAGGCCCAGACCTTTCTGAACTAGGCAGTGATGGGATGCCTATTTCCAAAGATGAGGGTCTTGGGGTCAGCTGAAAACAGACGCTCAGGTTTGATCTTGATTGAATCAATTACCTTTGAGTTAACACTAACATCAAAAGTTGATGAAGAAGGTGAGACGGAAAAACGCCTCAGTTTCCGAACAGGAGGTGTGCTGGATACAGCTTGTGGGATAGACGGTAAAGATCCCCATTCGACTGAGATAGAATGTATGTTTCATTTTCGATTTCATATATACCTTTAGACAGAGGTTCGGGTTGTATGGTGGATGGTTGCTTCTTGATCGTTGTGACAGAAGCCAAATTAGTTGTCTCATCTAATGAATGTGTGGAACCTGACATTTCCCGTAACCTCTCCTAAAGAAAAAGCAATATTAAATCACGCACTCCTTAACTTACATTGATATCTGAGACTGTTTCCGTGCAAGTCAATGAAGAACTCCGCACTATTCTCTTTGTTAACTTAACACCCTCAGACTGTGAAGCTGTTTCAACCCCACACGTTGGGTGGACAGGATCAGAAGGCGATTCTGGAACATGGATTGTTTAACGAATATAGAGCGTTCGACGTACCTTCTACGACGCTCGCTTTATTAGCAGTTATTATATCTTCATTAGTGTCATCTCGTAGCTTCACGCTTATTCTGCTCAAATCAGCTTTCTTGTTCCGCTCACAAAACTGTCGAATCTCATCGTAGTACCGTTGGAATTCATCCTGATATTGTCGAACCTGTAGGACGGCAAACACTGTACACTACATGCAAAAGCCAAGCAATAACATAACTTATAATAACACCAAACACGGAACAAAAGAAAGGAGAAAAAGAAAACGAGTGTTCGAACAACTGAAGAGAAAACTGAATGTTCCGTATCCACTACGACAAATGTACAAAATTTTGGAAAATAGATTAACAACAGAATAGACAATGCTTTCCATGTTATTTCAAGCATGTTTGAAGCTCTAACGAAAACTGAAACCACTGCACTGACCTTTTCACTCGAAGGTAGCGCGCAAGATTGGTCCAAATTCATGAGTGTGATTGATGTGTTCATCTTCATAGCGGAGTGTAAAGCTAGTAAACCAGCAGAGCCTGGAAGTAGTTAATTGAGAATATCATAGATAGAGGAGCTGAGAAGAACAACCGTTCCTTCACAATTCACAGCTATAAATAACATGCACGTTCGGCTGTTCACGTGAAATTCAAATCCACGTGAAATTCAAACACGGAAACGTGGACTGATGACGCACGTATGAACCTAGTTCACGTGGTAAGCAAACGCTCATAGCGGTACGTTTCACGTGAAAAACCAACGTGTTGATACTGTTCATAGTGTTTTCATTACAACATACCTATTTCCGGATTGTCTCGTAAGTCAACTCTAACCATAGCATCGTTATCAGCAAGACATTCAGCTAGGACTATCGCAGCTGGAAGAAAGTATGAGTTGGACGCCTTAATACAAGAGTAAAAACCTTCGCAATCAAGTTTTGTATTCTGCAAGCCAAGCCTGTGTAAGTTGGATGTTGAAGATAAGGCGGCTTTCAACCTGTGAATTCCTTCAACTCCTAACAGATTATTACCAATATTTACAGTTTCAATATTGTGATTCTCTTTCTGAAGTGAATAAATAAGAAAACGAAGAAAACAAGAACGACATACCAGCACAGATGCTAAATTACTCATGCTTGCAGCTGTTATGCGATTGTTCCATAAAACAAGAGTAGAGAGAGAGCTTCGTGTACAAGCTGCTTCACTACTAAAAGCTTTACAAAGGTGTTGTAAACCAACGTCCTTGAAAGGGATAAATTAACATATTTCTTTGTTGCATTTACCCCGAGTTCGTTATTGCGCAGGTCTAACATTTGTAAAGTAGTATTGCATTCGATAAGTTCCAGTAAGTGAAGAGCATCAGTAGGTTGGAGCATATTTTCTCCTAGATAAAGCTCCTGAAAGCAAATTGATGATCATTTGTCATTTCATTGTCGTCTCACTTTGAGAGTTGTATTATTTTTTAGTGCTCTTATTAATGTCTGTAAACTTTTACTAGAAACCGAGATATTCTCCAAATGTAGACATGTTATCGAAAGAGGTGGATTTGCTTTGAAGCTTTTGCACATTTGAGTCAGAGCTCTCTCAACCGTTGTATAACGAAGATTCAAAACTCGAAGAGAAGTGCACTGTAAAGAAAAAATTGAGATGAGTAATTGAGTCTGAGAGATGCTCACATAACGAAGACACCTGAAAAACATTGTCCATCCATAAGAACTTATATCTCTATTGAAGGAGAGATTCAGTCTTTCTGTGGAATCATAAAACTCTAACATCTCAGAGAGAGCTATCAAACACTAAACAAGAGTATCTTATCAGTTGAAATCTTTTGTCAGAATGATTACCTCGTCGTTCAGAAAAGTGTACTCAAAATCCAAAGTGTCGAATTGTACCCGTTTGAATATTTCCTCGAGAGCTTCCATTTGCTGAGGTGAAACCCGTTCCCCCTTTAAGGACAAAGACTCTTGACGTACAGCTGGAGATCGATGCATATACTGAAAGAATTTCTCGTCTCTTGGGTTCTATGGATGACCATTGCTTACGCCAATCTGTTTTTCAACTGCTGGACTGGGGGCGATTTTGTTGCGCTCGCAAGCTTCTCTATAGCATTTCAGAATTTCTTCTGGGTTAGGTTTATGCTCTCCTCAAATATCATACATAACCATTTTAATAAGATTTTAACTAACCTGGCTCTCCACCAGACAGTTCAAGGAACGGGCAAGGAGCTTCTGAATAACCCGTGACAACGTCGTCATCAAAACGAACACTTCGATCGTGTGAACATTTCTGTATTGGGCCTTCATCTGAAAAATTGTTATGAAGTTCGCTGAATCAATAGTAGCGGTACCATCTACTGGTTGTGAATTAATATCGGAAGGAGAGCGTCTTACGCCTGGTCTTGGTAGAGTGTTATTAAAAATTCCATTCGAAGGAGGAATGGGTGAGGAGGGTGATTGCGGAGAAGTTGTCCCCGCAGAGTCGTACAAGCCGAGAAGGTCCTTAAACAACACCAGTATGTACGTTGTTTGTCCTTTAAACGCACCTGTAGACCCGAGAAAAATTTCATAGACATATGCTCAGGCGTGAGTGGATTTTCGGCCGAAGTGGGGGCATCAGGAGCCAAAATTGGAGCGACGTGGCTTCGGACTGCCAGTCTGACCTCTGTGTAGATGTCTTAGGTATTGGAAACAAAACCCTTTGTCATTTAGGACATCGACGCTGAAATCAGTGTCTTGTATGCAATGAAGTTGTTGAGGCAATTCTCGAATGAGGCACGAAACGAGACGAGAATGAACAATAGGTAAAATGAAATCAATATTGTGAAAAAGCACGTGACAAGTGAGTAGTTGCGATACAGACAGTCGTAAAACATCAAGTAATAATAATTGGCTGAGAATTGGCTTCATCTCATTATGAAAGTACCGAAAACAGAGTATGACGTAGATGATCACTGAAGAAGTGCGATCGCAATGAATATCAAAGTCATTATCAGTTGATGATTAATGATTTCAATCAGAGACGTACGAAAAGAAGATGAGCGAGATGAAAAGCTAATGGTCAATGAATGATTGAGAGACAAGAAAGAAAGGGATATTACAAACAGGGAATTATGCATATGAAGCATATCTTCATAACCGTATGTACCAAACTTTTGAATTTCATCGAAAAAAGCCGGTTTGCTATAATGAAGTAGGATGATTGAAAACAACAACAATTCTATTCGATTCGAGTATTGAAAAAGACCAGAAGTAATGGCCATTTTGTCTCGTTCACAGTGAATACTAAAGATAATCAAGCTCAGATCAGTGATATGATAAGACACACTAATTTCTTGAATAACAACTGAAAAGTAAAGAAATCTCAAAAGGCTCAAACCTGGGAAGTTGGCAAAAAAAAAAAGAATGCAACCGGATCTGTACGGGTGAAATAGTTTGGGCACAGGTTAAGCACAGGTACACTTATCGCTGCGTAATTCTTTCGGCAGCTGTGTGACCTTGCAAGTGCACACTGGAAACACCGTTCATAAAATATAGACCATTGGGGAAGCCTGATCACTAAGCTAATATGGTGAAAAAACGTGTTCAGGCACTTCTTTTCCATATATGCTGCTGAGCAGAATTAGCTTATTTGCTGTGAAGTCTCTTCGCTACGGGAGACGGTGAGCCGCGCCGCGAACCGCTCGCGTTTGGCCCAGAGCGAATATTTGACGGCTCGGCGCCTAGGAAAATGCATGGGCGCTGATCGATGTGCCCCTCCCCCTCTTTCACTTTAATCAATTCACGACGCAGCCCTCTATCTTTATCCAATACTTCTTCCAACAGTGTAAACTTATAATTTTTTAATTTCTCAAAGTATATCAAGCTTCAATCTCATATCAACAATATTATTTGTCTCATTTGACCTTGAATGAAAATATGCTCACAAGTTATGGAGCACGGAGCAGCCTCTGGCCGCCTCCGCAGCTGCATTGCTCAACGCCCTCAGCATATCCTTATCTTATTTGAATCACTATTTAAAACTTAAATTATGATATAAATCACTGAAAACATTCGAATTAAGATGATAACTCGTAGAATTGAACAAGAATCCAACAAATTTTCAACAAATAACCTCAGTATTGCTTTGGTATTTGGCTGCTCAAACGCACATCATAAAAGCGTATAGCAATGTGCAGGCTGATGAAAAAGTTAAAGAAAATCAAGTGTTATGTCTTACATACATACTGACTCTCACATTTACACAATTATTCAAAACTTAAGAAAATTTTTTTCTCTCTATTTTCGGCTTCAACTGCAGCCCTAACCCAAACGAGCGTCTATCGATATTTTCAGTCGTTTCATCCTCTTTCTTTGTTTCTTCACTAGTTTCTCAACAATTTCACATAATACATAAACTTAGAATCTCAGATATTCTGAAGTCATGGTATAGTGATTCCGTAATCACAAGATAACCGATATGGCCCTCCCACGGTTGAGGTACGCTGTCTGAGTGTTTCAAAGTGACTAAACGTACTATTTTCAGGGTAAATGTCAACAATGAGGAGAAGCTGGTCCATCCAAACCATATGGTTTACCAGAAAATGGAAGAACTGGTGAACAAAATGTTGGATGCCGATACCGGCGTTCCTATTAAAACAGTGAAAAGTTTCCTCTCCAAAGTTCCATCAGTGTTCACGGGCCAAGATTTGATTGCATGGATTACTAAGAACTTCGAAATGACAGACCTATGTAGGTGTACTGAAATACATAATCTCATATACTCAAACAGAGAGTCGAAAAATGAAAATACCTCATCGTGATCATTTTTCAGCTGATGCTTTACACTTGGCGCATCTTGTGGCTTCTCATGGCTACTTGTTCCAAATTGATGACCACGTGCTAACGGTTAAAAATGATGGAACATTTTATCGATTCCAATGTCCATATTTCTGGCCATCAAACTGCTGGGAACCAGAAAACACAGATTACGGTTCGTTTCGGACGAGTGAATGACCTTAAAGGCTATTTTAGCGGTGTACCTATGTAAGAGAACCATGCAAAACAAAGCTCACTTGGAATTAGAAGACTTCGAAGCTGAGAATTTGGCTAAGTTACAAAAGATGTTCAGCAGGAAGTGGGAGTTTGTTTTCATGCAGGCTGAGGCACAATATAAGTAATCAATAGAATTCCTTGTTAGGAAATTTATAATTCTCTTGATAGGGTTGATAAGAAACGAGATAGGCTTGAACGCCAAATATTGGACAGTCAAGAGAGAGCTTTCTGGGATGTTCATCGTCCTGTACCAGGCTGTGTAAACACCACCGAAGTAAAAATATAATACCAGAAACCTAAATGTATACTTGAAACTCTCTAGGTGGACTTCCGAAAACTTTCTCGATCTGGTCGACCCAAATACAGCCAAGGGCATGCTGCTTTGAATGCTGCAGCTTCTTCCGGCGTCAGCCCTTATTCCACAAGTGCTGCTGCTGCTCATTCCAACATGCCCTCTACATCCAATGGAGCCACTGCTCAGACATCTCACTCAAGGTTCCCCGTTTCCGATTCCCGAGCTGATCATAATACATCAACTTGCAGCACCAGCTCTGGTGGTTCTTTCCGTAGTGGCTACGTCACCAGGCCAGGCGTACGTCGTTGTACTCAAGTTCAAGACTCTTTGAAGTTTGAGGTTTGAGCTCAGCAACTTAAAGTCTTAACCTGAACTAATCCTTTATAGATCAGCATGCTTAATAATAGATTATCCAAGAATGTTTTAAGGACCTCAAAAGTAGTAGAAAAGTAAGAAAGTCTATACATGTCGCATTACATCGTCTATTACTTTTCAGTTATGTCTCTTATTACGAACATCGTAAAGTGTTCGATCCCTTCATAATTCCTCCTGGCTCTGCTAATGATCCATTCCAAAGTCTTCCAAACCCTTGGATTCATGACACTGTTGATTTCTGGACCCATGACAAAATGTAAGATCTCATGATCACACGACGCTCTTCTCACTTCTATCTCGATTACAGAACGGGCGAAATATCAACTAGACGTTTAAAGTTATGGGAAGAGTGTTTTGAGGATCTCTTAGCCGACAACATTGGTCGTGATACTTTACAAAAATTCCTCGACAAAGAGTACTCTGGTGAAAATCTACGTTTCTGGTGGGAGGTACAGTCCCCGCTCGTGTCTTCGTTTTTGCTAAGCTGACCTTACCTTCAGGTTCAAAAGTTGAGAAAATGTAGTTGCCGAATGGTTCCTGTATTGGTCACAGAAATATATAATGAGTTCATCGACTCGAACGCCACTTCACCAGTCAATGTAGATTGCAAAGTAAGGGTTTAGTGCATGACCGACCGGGTTCATAAAAATTTCACAGGTAATGGAAATCACCGAGGAGAACTTGAAGAATCCTAATCGCTGGAGCTTCGATGAAGCAGCCGTAAGTTGCCTGCTCGTTTCGTGTGCATATGCTAGTGAATTTCAGGATCATATTTTCTGTCTAATGAAAAATGACAGTTACCAAAGATTTTTACGTTCTGATATCTACAAGGATCTCTTAACACAATCCAAAAAGAAGGTATGTATCGTGTGGAGTTCATCACTAGTAGAGAAAATAGAGATTTTTTTCTGAGTGAAGAGACTAACCGCATGTATTTTTGCATGGGTAGGCTGCACGATTTAAAGAAATTATATTTTGTATATTAGGAGTTGTTTCCGTTTTTAGAGCACGCTCTCTTCATTGATCGGTCGAAAGACCTCACGCAAAGTTTCTCGTAAAGGCGGTCAATCTCCGGGTCCTATGCCAGTGAATCACAGCTCTCCTTGCCTTTTGGCTCCGCCTAACCTTCCATAGTGGGTCCAATAACCATAGGGTGCGCCCGCCTCTTTGCTATCAATGCTTCCCTTCGCCTCTAAGCTATCCGCATGTACCTTTTTGTCTTGTTCTGTGATTTTGGCGGTAAAGCGCAGCTCAGTTGCCTTTTGTTCATTCCTTATTTGTACTCAAAATAAGCGTAATGTGTTGCTCTGCTTGAGCTGAGTCTTTTTTGTTCACCTAGCCACGAACTGGGCAACGCTAGCTACCGCAACTTTCCTAAATTTACGATAAATTTTTCAGGTTCCTGCCAAAATGTCAAGAGACATCGGAATACGGTTTCCTAACTTGGGTTTTTCATCCAATCAAGTCCGAAGGGACGCTGCTAATCTTCACGTGGGACCACAGCCCGGCAGCAGTGGTGGTCCATCCAGTTGCTCGCCGACCAACACAGCTACTGTTGGAATATAGATTTGCATTAACCAGACATATGACCTTATATAACAATACCACCAATCGTTCTCGGTCTCCTTATAGCGCTGGTGCGCCGCCGATCGCTGTTTTTCTCCCGGTCTGATTATACTAGAAATCATCACTGCTTCTGATAGCATGGGTCTAAGGTTCTATATTCCATTCTTTAGTTTCTTTCTTCGATAAGATATTCCCATTTTTAGATTTGTATAGAAATCCTCTCCCTCTCTCTCTCTCTCTTCGTCTCTGTCTCCCACTCTTTGTCTCTCTATCTAACTCTCTCTCTCTCTCTGTCTCTCTATCCCTCCCTCCCTCTTTGTCTCTCTCTCTCTCCTTTTATATCTCTATCTCTCCGTCTGTCTCTCTCTTCTGTCTCTCTCTCTCTCCAAGTTTTTCATATTCCGCACCCAGCATAATGAATTGTTAATTGCCAACTTTACTCCCCCGAAATCTCTCAGCCTCTAGTCAGTTTTACAACCCAGCTTTAATTATATTCTAGTCTTTTTTCTGCAATTTATATAGTTCTACTTATCACCGCAACGAAAAACTGTTTTAGGATGATTAAGCTACCAACTTCCTATTCCTGATGTTTTTTCTTCTATTTATACATCCCCAAACATTGGTGTAAAGTAATCGGTATTATTTATTTTTAAAGTTTTCTTATTTTTCCACAATTGTCCATTTTGAATGAAGTTTAACTTGTAAACTGTTCTTGAAAATGATGAAAAAACAAAAAAACATTATTATCTGTGAGCATATCTATGCCGCGCTCGATGACGTTCTCTATCTGTGTGACGATCCCTTGACCGCGATCTCGATCTCTCGTACTTATGCTTGTGTTTGTAATCTCCACCTCCTCTATGCTGATGATGTCGACTGCGGCTTCTGCTTCGGCTCCTGGATCGTCGGTCACGTGACCTACTTCGTAAACGATTCCTAGAACGAGAACGAGATCTTGACCTTGTTCTGTTTCTACGAGAGCTGATTCTAGAGTTAGAACGATTTCTCGATCTCGATAATGATCGTGATCGTGACTTGCTCTTCGATTTAGAGCGCGACGAAGATCTGGACTTGGAGCTTTTGCTGCTACTCCGACTGCTTCTGCTACTACTGCGGCTACTCTTTCTTCGATCGGAGCCTTCCCGTCGCTTTTTCTCCCGCTGCTTCCGCTCTTGCTCTTCAATGAATATAATCTCATCACGAATCTGAAGTTGATGTTATTTAAGAGGAAACATCACATAAAGAACAAACTCTTTTTTCTTTCTCTGCTTCTCGTTTCTTGGCTTCCTCTTCTTCCCGCATTTCATCAACAGTTTGACGTAAAGTTTTCTTTAACCTGGCCTTCAACTTTCGTGCTATCTCTTTCTAAAACTACGGATTGGATTCAAAACATTCGGAACACGGACCTTTTCTTCTTCTTCTGACTCATCGTCTTGTCTGTCAGGCTTCTTTTCTCTTCAAAGAAAAAACATTAAGAACATTCGTAAGAAACAACCCCACTTCATCATTCGTTTCGTACGTTTAACTCTCCGCTTTCTGTTTTCGATTTGTATACGTTCCTTCTCAGAGTCCGACATGCTTGATCTATGAAACCGTTATCGACACCGCATTCTGTGCAAACAGAAACCTTATTTCTACAAGTTCCAAATCTGATCCATAATCACTAGATTCGGGCGAGTCAGAAGCAACTTTTTTTTCTTCGAGACCAGTGTCGTCACTGGGCACTCCGGTAGAGTCATCTTCTCTGACTGGGGACGGAGAACCACCAGGTCGACATGGAGGAGATGCAGTTCTGGATCTTCGACTCATACTAGGGGATCTGAAAAGAATATGAGAATAGTTTGGGGGTTTCTCAGTAACACACCTGCTCCTATTTACCCGTGGTTTCGAAACCTTTCTAACTGGCGGCGTTTGTCCGTCCATATCAAGCGATGTAGTGGGTTCACCGGTAGCAAATTGACTACAGAAGGGAAATATACAAGTTCACAAGCAAACTACCCACAGCATCTTCATACATGCTGGATCCATTTTCTCAGCTGGCTCAGCTGATCCTGGTTTAACTAGTTCCTCCTCTTCATCATCTAAACATCAAATTAACTGTCGGTTGAATATTTGATAGAGATACCATCTTTGTCTGCGCCTCCACCAAATGTAGTGATAAACTCTGCTTTGGCTGGTTCGTCATCTGAAGAATCACTACTGGAAGATTCTTGCTTCAAGTATTTGTTTTTATCCTCATAAGCCTTCTCACGGAATTTAAAACCTGAAGGTGAAAGTTTGGAATGCAGTATAATCATAATCTCACTAAGTGTGGCTTCATCATTCACACCCTTGCCAACAATCATTGCACGTTGTCGTTTGAGAATTTGCCGTCCTTGTTTCCCTTCTCGACCCTGCAATTCTAGGAGTGTGTCGGTAGGTAGAAGGTAAACGTACAGCTAACATGCTCTTCTGTCTTTCAATTCTCTTTAACTCAGCAGCTTCCCGAGATGCATGTTGATCGGCAGCCAAGAGTCCGGTGAACCTGGCTAACTTGATCCCATAATCTTCGCCTATCTTATTTGCTCTTCTTTGTGAATCAGCAGTATACTTTGAAAGATCCAGATCAACATCTATAGTCCACAATGAAAACAAATTCCATCTAACACCTACCGATATCCTGAACTTCGTCGTCAATCTCTTCCTCAGACTCTTCATTCATACTTCCTCTAACTACGTCAGAATCATTGTATGAGAAACCTATGGATGCTTTTCCTTCTCCGCTTTTCCTGAAGAACCGTATAACATTGGAACTCTAGGAGTACATACTTCTTCTTCTCCATCTCCAGTTTGCGATAATCCTCATTGTTACTAGTCAACCAGAACTCCTTCTCACCAATTTTACGCAGATAAGTCTGAAACTCATGGATATATCAATGAACTGATGAAGATTGGTTTTTACTTTTTCCGAAACATCTTTGAACTCATTGATTATGAGCAGACGATATCTTTCGAAATCACAAACTGTTTCCTCTTTGGCAATGGCACTGAAACTATCTTGTGAACAGACAATACTATCAGTCATACCTCTTCTCATCAATCCGTGTTGTTCTGGGAGGAGGGATGTAATCCAAATGTGATCGGGCATCAAAACGATCAATGAGAATCTCTGGATCTCCCTGCCACTTCCGCCTGAATAGAGTAAATACTATTGAAGAAAAATGAGGAAACTGACAAAATATTCTGTTCCTCTGCAGCTTTCGCAATGCTCTTATCTGCGTGTATGGTACATCCTCGACCATGCAGTTGCATAAACTGGTCAGGATCTTTTCTCTATACTCACATCGTTAGAAAGATAGATTGAATGCTCCGTCATTTACCACATTTTCATAATACTTTCTCCGTTGTTCAGCTCGGCGAGAACAATCAACGATGCGAGCTCTTAACAGTTTTTCCTGTTTACGGGCTTCATGCCACATCTTCAAAGAAAATGGAATTCTAAGCGATACACACAAATGAACGAAATATAACGCAGTAATCTAACGCTGGGAAAGAATTTGAAGAATCATGTTTAACCCTTTATTAGGTACAGCATAGATAATGGTGGGATGGCACCACAACACATGTACGTAGACAGGTAGCATCTACATTACATATCTACAACTGTTATTATGAACAATCCGAAATACAGACATATGAGGGAGAAAATCAGAAATGCTGCTGAACAGTAAAAACTTGGTAAATCTGGATGCCTTGAAGCATTTACATGCTGTCTACGGTGTGGTGCTTTCACAAACTGAAATCAAAATGAAAACATATCTCTGAGCTTCAGCCTCTGGACATGTATGCCACATGGTTCATACAACTAGTAAGACACCCAGTAACCCATTATAGAGAATATTTATCACATAGTTCCAATACGAGATGTTAATAATGAGAAAGTTATGAAGTAGAAACGGAAGCCCAGCCACTGAGCAGTTACTTAGGCTTGGAAAAGAAAACATCTGTTCTATTCTCAAGAACGGTTTGACAGCGTTTGAGCAAATTATCTTGCCTCTCTAACGCTTCATCTATACTCTTCATTTCCTGAAAATGACAACGTTCAGATCAAAATCCATCTTGGAACATACATCTTCGTGATACTCTTCCGGGTGTTGTTGTTCCCACTGTAAACTTATACGCGTCAATTCAGTATTCAAGTCGAGTGCTGCAACCCTCCACTAGATATCACAGATTAGAAAAAAATGGGTATATAGGAACATACATCTTTAACCCATAACTCTGCAACCTCTTTAACATGTTCTGGAGAAGTTGGAGGTGGTGCTGGGGGCTTCGTTGATACACTCTTCATCATTTGACACCAAACAACCATGAGCTCATCAAGATACTTCCCTAATCTCGTTTGGGGTAAAGGTGTGTTGTCATCCAATAATGATTCTTTTGCTAAACATAGCACTTCATGACATCTTAATTCATAGCAAAAACTCACGTTGGTCATCAGTTTGCATAGGTGAGTCGTCCTCACCCAGCACTAACTTTTCGAGGTGTGTCATTGAAGATCCTTCCAGTGGTTTTTCTGATATTACGTCTTTACTACACTCCAATGAAGATAACCAAACCTTCCATTCTCCGATATTATTAAATGTTCCTGAGAGTCTAAGAAAATATACAAATAATTATCTGCATTGTTATAACGGTTCTGGTCTACAGAGCTTAGGCTCCGCCCATTCAACTGTGCGCAACCAAAGAACCAAAAAAATAAGTTGTGGACATTACCACATATGTACGCAGAAAATTAAAGGTTACTGTATTCAAAATATTTATAACTAGAACTGTGAAAAATGATTTACATGAAACGGGATAAATCTCTTTTGCTTCTCGCGTCCTGCGCGTCTGATACTTTTGGATCCTTAGAACTGGGCTCTCCTCCCAGACTCAACATAATAGCTTGTTGTAACTCCTTTTCCTTAATCAACAATGATGATGTTCATTTTAAAAAAATAGACAAACCTCGTTTGTTTGAGCATCATCACTCTCTGGTGAATCTAGAAGGGAAAATATAAGCAATTCATATGAAAATCGGGCATGACCCATGTACTAAATTTGTTTTTCAAAAAATATCTATACAACCGTTCTGCACGTCTGCGCAAACTGAGTTGCATTCCATTTGTATCTTCATTTTAGGAATCTGTTGGCATACCTGATTCTCGTCCTAAAAAAAAATAACTTTGCCAGTTGTTCAATACTACTGATTCCCGTTACCTAATTTTTGGCCCTTGCCGCTCATTGGCTCAAACTTTTTCGGAGCTGTAACAGCTGGCTTCAAAGGCACTGGATTCTTCTCAATAATATGATCGACTTCCACATATGGTATATCCCCATAGACAACGAAAATTGAATATCCTGTGAAATGGAGAATTGATATCCCGAATAAAGACGATGTTTAACCTTCTAAACTAAGCTGTGAAATATAAATAGATAAGTAAGTATCAGAGAGAACTTCCGGACCAGCCTATATTGATCATTTTCTATCAGAGAACTTGAACGTTTATACCTTCACTGAATTCAATGAGAACCATTGTCGGCCTCCGAACTTTCTCAAAGTGAACCAATGCTCTTGCATATTACAGATGAACGCAGTGGCTGATCTAGAACACACTATTTCTTGCAAATTTCAGATTGACTAAATACGTTGGACAATCTTTGTACTCTGCAGCAGTGGGGTGATCGATAGAAATTAACTCGAGCCCCAAAGCGGATAAAGCTTTCACTATTACCTGCAAGCAAGAGGAAAACATTAGCAATCAGTAATAATCTTTCGATACTTGAACTGAGAAGAAGCCACTATCATTCATATTCTGACTCTTTTCGCGTTTCCGTTTTAGAACAGCATTCTCTTCACTGAATTTTCATTATACTATGCAATAACTCTTTGTTCATACTCGTCCAGTTGATGAGCAATTACCGAAAGATCAACAGATGTGAATAAAGGTTGTTGGAGTAGCATGTTGAGTGCATGCTGGGCACATAACATTCCCTCTTGCTATAAATAAGATGAGAAAAGGAAAAGCTCATTTCACCAACTTTTTCAAAAAAGATCTTGTCCATAATGCTGGGATCTGGTTCGAAACTGCAATATTACAGCAAAAATGGTTCAGTATTAAGACAGATAGGCAGAATGGCTATGAAACCATAGATGTGTGGAAATATATAACTACTTTTCATATTTATTTGAATAGAAATTTGTTCCATTTTCATTTTTGTCGTGATCGCTTGTCAGGCTCATTAGCAACAGATTTCTTCCTTTTTGCCGCCTTTGCTGGTGCTAACAAATATAACATGAGAATAAGAAATCTAATTATGTTACCTTCACCAATGATTGACATTATCTTTTCTTGCAACTTCGATAAAGGTTTCTTGATTCTCATATCGTAATAAGATTTAATTGCCAATGGATCTTGTAGAGCATGTAAACACAATACGTGTTGAAGGGAGGACTTGAAAGGTAACATGTTAACCAGACCATGTTTTCAAAAACATACACTGAACGCTGTTTCCAGTCCTTCGGACCTCCTTTCTTTTGAGGAACGAAACTGTAAACTGAACTCAGCTAGCTTCCTCTCAGCTGCTTGGAATAGAAGTGTCTGTGCTTCCTCATTCATATCTAAGACTGTATATTATTGATTAACAAGATGCTTACAACCTTGAAACCCAAACAGTTTGACAATAGGTAGTAAGCTATCTCTCAACAAGTCTTCAGCTCCTGACAGAGGTTTGAAAGCATCTTGTGTTTCAAGAGGCTGAAATCTAGTATTTGAACGCTAATATGAGGAAGAATATCCGTACATACTTAGGTATGTTGAGAAAATCTTTGACTTCATCTTCTCTGATCTTTTTGCGTCTTCCACTCTTAGCGTGAAATTCGTACAGATTGTTGTAAATTTCAACTTCGGATAGCACCTGTACATCACGGAGGTATATTGAGAAAAGGTGAACCACAAACCATTCTATTTGTTGTGTTTGTTCTCAGCTGAAAAACGTATCTAGTTGAAGTAACAGGAAGAAAGAGAGAGGAGGTACAAAGATCACAACTTCAATTATAACTATATCTAACTTGGATTATGATTTATTAACATGCTAGGCACAAATATTATTCGACTAGAAAACCTAATAAAAGTTAGAAACTTTAAAAAATGTAACATAAAAAACTTACAAAGAAATTGTTAATAAATTAAAAATCAAATTCTTCATCTTGGAACAGATCGATAACGCTATCACAACAACATCCGTAACTGTAGACATAATCACGATCAGATGGCGGTGGAGTAAGTCTTTCCATTTCACTACTTCCATCAGGAAGGTACATTCTCTCTTTTACCTCAGAGCTCTCCGGAGTTTCTTTTTCCATATTTGATCCATCTCTCTCAATCATTCGTCTTCTCCGGAAATTCCCTAACCCCATGAGTATATCTTCGTCCTCATCTTCCAATATAGGACCAGGCTCATCCAAAGCGTCATACTGGAAGAAAGTAAGACATAAGAATCTATAATAGATTGGCAAATTACCTGCATATCTTCATCATCTTCCTTTTCATCACATCTATTAACGATCACAGCGCTGATTGGGCCGCAACGACTTCTTATCTTCATTTGGTACTGAGCCTCATACTCGAACCCAAACTGAAAAAAAAACTGTTATGAATACTATACTAATTGATTGCAAAACCTTAGGAGGCGAAACTTCCACACTAGTTCCTGCAGGAGCATGGATGGCGAAGTTAATAAGATTGGGAAACACTTGCTGAACTTCCTCTTGTCGTACATATGCGTATTTTTGATTATTAGTAAATTCGAGAACGTTCCTAATGCTCTGAAATGCTGACAAATGAGTGGCTCGTTTGGGTTAGCCTGCCTACCTGTTTCATAAACTTTAAATGATTGGTTAACTTCTCTTCATCATCGACCAAGACTTGGATTTCATCTTTGAGGAATTGTATTCTCTCTTGATCTCTTTGTGGGATTGGTCTTTTCCCCGTTGTAGGCAGCAGTTCACCTCCCCTGAAAGAAATGATCATGTGGTCATCACTCAAAGATAACTCACTTCCATTGAATTATATTCTTGGATCTTTTTTCTATGAGACCTATACCTTCCAAAACATTAGTAATATCATATATCCTTCGTTTTTGACGTACATTCAACTGCTCAGCAGCCTAAAGCGTATTGATTAATCCCCGTGATTGGTAGTCTGTTTAGACTCACACTATTCAAATCACATATCCCTCCGGTGGCAGTCTGAAGCAGACGAATAAACCGTTTAGTGAGCAGACCGAGAGATTTATCCGCTCGTGTTCCCATTTGTGGAGTTTCGATATCATCGTCATCAAAATCATCAAACACTGAAATAAAATAAGCTATCATTTGGTGAGGACGCCTGACACTCACGCTCCATCTCAGTTTCCTCTACGGCTGCTTCAGCCACGCCATTGACGGTTTGGTTATGTGAACTCGTAGAGGGACGATCAACTCTTACAAGTACAGGCTGAGATCCAACATCACTCATCGTCTGAAATAAAAATAATGATGCTACAGAGAGTTTAGTGAACAACGTGACAATACGGAACAGGCGTGGTGAGCCTGGCTTCGGTTGTTTGCTTTGATGAGTAGGATTCATTCTTTTTGAGAAGAACTTTGAAAAAATTTGATAAAGCTCTCATAGCTTAATTAAAATTAACATAAAAATTTAAAATAAATCGTTCCCACCAAAACAACACGGCGCCAATTCAAAAAAAATCGGTTGTTTGGCCGACGCTACAATCGATATAGGTCTTGACGCGATTATGGTGCTTGCATTCAAAGTTTGGATATATTCTTACAGATAGTTCCGATAATGAGCAGATTGTTAGATGAGGAACTGATTGATGCAGCACAGGATGTGTGTTATCCTGATTGGGAAAGAGAGGACAGTATCCTTCAACTACGAGAAGGTTTGAACTTAGCACTCATCCTTTCAACTAGTTCTTTGATACAGGGTTAAGACAAATATATGAGGATGATACTGAAGATTCAGTATTTGGCTCTGTTTTTGGCAATGTAAGCTGTTTTGAACAACCAAAGACTAAGAAACTAACGAATAGGGATTTTATGAGTTCACCAATACTCAGGAAACATAAAGGTTCTGGCGTTGGCTAAGTTAGAGCAACAGCGTTTGTTTAAGATCGGGGTTATGTTGACAATGGTAGCGATGATGAGGAGGAAAATAATATAATCGTGAGTATCTGAAGAACTGATTCTTTTTAATCTTGAAGAACTTTAAGTTAACAATGTTTCCCAAAGAAGAGAAACTTGTAACCGAGACATACGTTCTATTAGGCCAGGTCTATGATGAGTGTAATGTTATTGATCAGAAGGTGGGGGTGTACGTTTTCTTTCAATCTGTTTATGTTTATTCAGATTGAAAGAAGCTCTTCACGATTCAGTACTGGTACTCCTGATATAGCAGATAAAGAAAATGTTGTAAATGAACCAAGTGAGTCTGAACGAAATTACGTTAGTCGACCCCGTTCAGTAACTGATGACGCTGCCGTTCAAGTTGAGCAGCCAGTGACAATTCGATCTCCTCTGAAGCAAAAGGCTCAAGCTAATAAATGTAAGAGAAATGTTTTGAGTAGTTTTCTATTCGTTGAAGGTCTTCGCAAAGTGATTTGTCCTGAACCAGGCAGAAGCCTCTTACGGCATGATCCAGTTAAGATGATCCAGATATACAAAGAGGAATGGAAGAGAAAACCAACGCCTGAAGAGCAGAAAAGATTGGAGCTAAGATGGAAGGTTCGCGAGCACATGCTACGTCGGGATTTCCCAAAGTAAGTTTGGCTCGAGAGCTTCATAAGTTCTCAGCATCATGTCATTATAACGTACATCTTCTCTTTTCAGGAAGTTCCCTGGTGGAGGTATTGCTAAGCATGACAAGGACTGGTCTCCAAGACCCTATATGAACTGAATGGCTCAATAGCCGAACACTTGTACATTTCAATTGTGAATAAACTTACACTACTCTTCACTTCTCTCTTTCGAACGAAAGTTGTTTCCTCAACAACTACTTTAGAAGTTCGGATGATTTTTCAGCAACCATATCATAGAAGGATGAAGAATTTGATTTTTCGACAACAAGAGAAAGTCATTCAAGCTCTCGGTCAGCACAACATTCCGGGTTTGAGATGGCTATTAGAAGGTTTCAACTAGTAAGACCTAGTGTGATATCTTCATTACTGTAATGTATCATACAGTTACGATGTGCAGCGTGTGAAAGACGTGGGCCCGGATAGGGCTGCTGCTGAATGGATTGTTCGTTGCGGAGGAAGTATTACGTGCGGTAATGCCTTGCTTCCATAGAAATCGTATGAGTTCAGATTCGATAAGATTGATGATTCGTTCTCCGATTATAATGCTCTCATCAAGAGAACTGCTGAATTGGATCCTCGCTTACCTCAAGATAACGTGAAACTCACGGACATCGACGCTTCCCATTCTAGCGTCACAGGATTCGGATGCCGTCATTTCAGTATCAGAATTGGTTTTACTAGAGTCATCTTGTAACTTGTAGAGGGTTTGTCTGGCTTGCAAAATGTACGTTTTGCTCACTGCAAGAACTTGCACGATTTCGGTTTGGAGACAATGGGTGAACATGTGGGTGGTCACTTGAAGTCACTGGAACTTGGCTCTTGTAGACGTATAAGTGAATTCGGACTAGCTCATCTTAAACTTTTTAAGTGGGTCGATCATTGAGGTTGATTATCTACGTTCATTTCAGGAAGTTGGAAGTGTTGAAGTTATACGACCTGACTGGAGTGTATAAGATATCTCGCAGTTTGGATCAGCTGCACGAGGCTCTGCCAAACACAGACATAAAGTATTCGGAAAAGAATGTCTGAGTGTAAATTAGATTATCTCTATATTCTCGAGGATTTTGGACAGCCACTTAACCTATGTCTGTAGAAGTATCGTTTTATGGGGTTATATGGGGTAAGGAGATTGTTTTGTAGATAAACTAGCCTAAGATCTAATCTGTCATGCACTATCCCTTCGATTCTCTTGTACTTACTAGGAATAAAATAGATTTTTAGAGTTGCTTTCTGAATTTCTTAGAGATGAACCAACAATTAGGTTACGATGCATGAGCGAGAAGAAGGAGAAATATTAAATTTTTCAAAATTAAGATGTCTCTTCCCATCGCTGCAGCCTGTAGAACATTGAGAATCCGACAGCAGAGACTGAAAACCGGCCAATGTCCTTAGGTAAGGTTCAAGTTTTTTGTTTCCGTTCTATCACTTATCTCATCTCCCCCACATTCTGCGAATAAATGTAGTATCATTCTCCCTCGAATACGAAATAATCTGAGGACAGAAGTAGATGAGGAAGAGGACCCATCGAATCAAAACTGAGACAACTCGGTTGTCTTTGAGCGATAACGTGCGACGTCCTTGAACCTGATTCTCCTCCAGTCAATCTACACTCTAACAACCCAACACGACCCCACAAAGCCCAAACAATCACTGAACTTCTAGCTTTTGATGTTGAAACACAAAGCTCACTTTCACCCACATCAAACTGTTCTGTCCGGATTATATCAGCTGAATGTATTGCAAATTTTGGGAAAACAGGGTCTGGTCGAATACTCGTTCAACGTTTGCAATTTTTTAAAGTCCACGTCGAAGTACACGTATCTTGCGATGACGTATCATTTTTTTTTGTGAACGCAGAGTAATTGGTTGTTCTTTCTGTATCTCTCAGCCTTGGTAATCTCAAATATCTTCAGAAAACCTTCCAGTCTTGTTATCCTTTTATCTCATATTTTATCTCCCCCTCATTCGTATGATTATTACCTGTACATTGAAAAGGCAGCCTCTATTCTTGTAAGTCTCATTCTGCTAGCTGACAGGGACATTCCTTCGAGGTCATCAGTAACTTGCCACAGCGACCGCCCCGATGTTGATACGTCTTTTCTATACACAACGATCAGCTCGTCGCTTTATCCAACTAATCTCGTAGACATGCTTATCCATCTCAATAGTTTCTACATTTCTCAATTCAACCCTCTTGGACACTTGATGTCTAGTGGAATGTCGTCACCTTGTGCTTTTCGCTGTACGCTGACTTATCATCAATCAGTCAACGTCATCATTCCGTTGCTTCATGTTAATACGGACTTTCTAAAAATTGCAAAACTGCAAACTTTCCTTTTATTGTCTCGGGAGGTTTGCCCAATTTCAATTAGGTAACTACAGCCGACTTTGATCGTTCTTTTCCACGTCGTGCCCCACTTTCCGCGTGAAGATTGCTATCACGTCGTATTTCGGGGTCCCTGGTTGTCCCAGCCGTGCTCCTCCTCCTCTTCCCCGTCTTCCTTTCCTTCTCCTTTCGCTTAGTTTTCTTCTTCTGTCATCATGTTCATCATTGTTAACACAACCATACAATTTCAATTAACATATACGTATATTTACCTTTTACGGTAACAACCAGTTTCATTGCAATTTTACTGTCCAATTGTAAGTTCTCTTCGATCTCTGAAGTTTGTCTGTGTGATGTGTGAGTATGTTAGTGTGTGTGTGTGTCGTAGAGATGGAAATCAAGCATATTAATAACTTAAATCCACTCATTTTTCTCTTTTTTCCAATACTTCTCTTCTTCTCCTTCTCATTTCTGATTTCTTTATCTTTTTCTATCAAATTCAAGTCAATTGGCTTCGAAAAAAAAGATCACAAACTTCAAAGAAGACGAGAAAGGGAATATGATAACCGAATAAGAGTTTTTCCGTCATCATTCGCTCTCTCTATCATTTTATATTTTATTTATATTTCTTTCTATCATTGAAAATGAAAGAAAGAACAACTTCTTATGCTTCTTAGTACGTCTGTATTTACCGTCTATGGTATATGCGTGTGTAGTGTGTGTATGTGAGACATAACTAAACCTTGCCACGAACGGAACTATAATTTTCTTCTACAAGGCAAAAAGAACCTTGATTCCTAAACAGTTAGCAAATCGTTTCTTCTTCTTCTTCTTCTGTCTTCTTCTTCTTCTTCTTCTTCATCTTCTTCTTCTTCTTCTAACCACCCCCTTCTGACACCAACACCATCTTCTTTACCCAACTACGTCGTTGTGACGCTTCTCTTTTCTTCACCTTGCCTTCCGACGTCATCAAAAAAGTGTAAAAGGTTAACGGGACAACACGCGATTACTCATCAACTTCTCAACCCGTATGCTTTTCTGTTTTCAGTAGTTCGACAGTTTTCGTTTGACCTCCGTTATTTCCTGCGAGATGAGGCGGGGACAATTCGTTTTCCATAAACTTTCTCCCCCGAAAGAATGTCTCCAGCTTCCGCCATTTCTTTTCGACACTTCTTACGATCTAAAGCTTTTCCGTTCTAACATCAATCGGGCTTTTCTCATTTTTTTTGAACTGTTGGACCCAACCCAATGGTCTTTCACCTGAAAATTTGCATTCTCATCTGTTTCATCAATCATCAAACAAGGAGAACAGAGAAAATTGAAATTTCCTTATAAGTAATTGTTCGTTCTGTATATTTTCATAAAAACAAATTACGTTTTGTCAACAAAAAGCTGAAAAAGAGAGAATTACAAGTATTCCTTCTTCTAACAAAAGTTATTACGAAGATTGACCGATTGAAATGTAACTTCGTCTTCTCTCTTCTTACATTGTTTTCAAGCTTGTTTTCTGTTTTTCATACTTCAATGCTTTATAAACATAATTGATCAAGTATGGAAGAAAATGAGTTTACCAACCTAGTCTATCACGATGGTCTGCAACACAGCTCGAAGCTAGACCTACAGAATACAATAGGCGTTAGGAAAACGACAAGTTTCTGGGGCGGTTCTGACGACTTCAGCCAGTGTGTCCATGCCTGGATATGATCCATCATCAGTATGACTCTACCTGCCTCTCCTTGGCTAGCTCCATCCCAATTTCACTTTCTGCTTATCTATTCTTCTATTCTTATCCTTCTCACTGCTCTACTCAAGCCCATTTCAATCTTCTGTGATACCCATGCATTCCAAACCCCCCCAATGTCAATGTTTCTTCAAATAATTGAGCTTCTTTTCTTCATGACATCATTTGCCAAACTGTTCGGCCAAACCTTCAATGTGTTCCCTATCATCATTATACCTTCTAACACGTTATTCACAAACTTATTCATTTCAGATGGACCAGGAACCAATAGTTAACTTGGACTGCCATTGTAATAACTACAAATGGGGTAAGAAGGGCCGAAAGAGTGAAGTAGCCAATCTGTATGCAGCTGGCCATTCCAACTTTTCGATTGATGAGAATCAAACATATTCTGAAGTAAGTATTTGCAATTCTGACTTCTCCATTCAATCTACACACATGAAACCTTTTGCCTTCTGTGCGTTAATCATCATTAGCGCAAAATGTCCCCATTCTGACAAGGAGAGCGGTGCGATACACCCAGGATAATGAGGGTTCGAACAGATAGCAAACTATCTGTTACATACTCGTAAACAGCAAATGTTTCATGCCTCTCTACCATTCAGTTAATTTGAACGCGCAACAAAAATTAGAATACGTCAATAGCCACGTTTTGACGGCACTTCTTACGAATCTCATTTTCAACAAAAACAGACCCACGAACGGTTGCAGTACACACTTCTTCATATTTCTCTCATTGTGTCTTCATTTTCTTTGTCAATTTTTGCTAGTTTTCATTTCTCTCAATTCTATTAAACATACATACTATCTCAGAATCTTTTGTTTCGAAAGATTGCTTAAAAATGAGACCACGTGACATTTATAATTCAAAAAGATATTAATTATTATATTTCAGCTATGGATGGGAACTCATCCACATGGTCCAGCTATGGTCCGAAAATCGAGTACATTGCTTTCAAAAATGATTAAGGAAGAATCTTTCACACGTACTGAAAGTAATAACAACTTGAGCAAAGTAACATTGAAACATCATCTAGTAGTTAGTAGTCTATCATCTGATCATTCAGGATGTCCGTACACAACATCATCTGCCATACATCATGAAAGTCATGTCAATTGATCAAACTTTGAGTTTGCAAGTTCATCCAACTAAGGTAAGATTTGGGAACATCATGTTTTTCAAAACATGATTGAATCCTGTTTAAAATGTTCGTTTGGGTTCAATCAAACACATCTTGTTGTGCTATTTGAACTGTAAAGTGGAACTTCTTCCCCCTTTCTCTTCTTTTTTCCTTTTTCCTTCAATCATATAAATAACAAATTGGATCAAAATGACGTCATCAACTTTATCTCTTTTTCTCTCTTTTAGGAGCAGGCCGCTATTCTTCATCAACGTGATCCTAAGAACTATCCAGACCGTAACCATAAACCCGAATTAGCTTATGCGTTTACTCGTTTCGAGTTGCTCTGTGGATTCCGTCCAGTTGACGAATTGCTAAAGAATCTCGAAGGTAGAGAACATCATTCCAGCCGATCATCAAATTCTTCATTTGCAGCTTTTGCTTCGCTTCGAGAACTTTTTGGTAACTACTATTGTCAGAACTTAATATGTCTTTTGAGACAATCGCCTGATCCAGACGATTTTGAAACGAAGAGAGCTTTAAAGAAATGTTTCAGTCATATGATGGAAGTTCCAGCTGAACGTGTTACGGAACTCATTGACGAGCTTTTGAAGCAACTTGATAATGGAAGTAAGAAACCTCCAACCCTAGTTCAATGTAAACGAAACTCTGATTTTGCAGTTTGTGGATCTTTAAGTGAAGATACTATAGGAGTAATTCGTAAAATTAATAGAGAATGTGAAGAAGAGAATAGAATACGCGATGTTGGAGTCTTCTCACCTCTATTTCTTAATCATATGATATTGGAGCCAGGAGAGTGCTGCTATTATGCAGCTGAAGAACTTCATGCTTACATCAGTGGAGGTTGTGATTGATGCGCTGATAGATATATCATTAAGCGAATTCCAGAATGTGTTGAGTGTGTTGGGTGTTCCAATAATACGATCAGGGCTGCTATGACACCCAAGTACATAGATAGACCTGCTCTTATTGAGGTACATAACATATTGATGATCACGAGGTTAACAGACGATTGATAGGTTCTCAATTACCGAATGACCAGTCAAGAACATTATTTGGTACCAGCAGTCACTTTGCCGAATTATCCAGCTGTTGATGAGTATTCCCCAGACTGCAAAGATTTTCAACTTCACAGAGTTCGAGTAAGTCTGACATTCCGAAAATTTTCAACAAAGTTGTTTTGAAGGTTGAACAAGGGCAGACGAACGTTCAAATTCCAGCCCTCGAATGTGGCTCAATCATGGTGATTCTTGGTGGTTCTGGAGTTATTGAAGAAGTTCCTTCTGCCAGTAACGAACTTCATGTAAGTGTAGCTGTCACAAGTCTCCCTAAATTTCCATTTTAGGAATCTAATAATGACGAAAAGATAAATAGACATGTTAAACGTGGAGATATTTTCTATATTAGACCAGGAACAAGGTTAAGGTATGAGATATGAGCATGAGAATGTTTCATTCAAAATTTGAAATTTAAGATTTGCCTCATGCACAGCAGATCTTGAAGGATTCCGAACCTTCAGTTATGAGGATGGCCCAGACCATGAGAGTCGATTGAATGACGGCTTATGCAACCGTTCCACTATTTCCGATTCTATTAAACAACATAATATGGTTTATAACCCTTACTCCCACTGATCTCTAAGCATATCTATTTCAGTCTTCACAAATAGCAGAAATTTCTATAAAAGGAAAGGACAGGCTCGACGGCGGCGTAGTTTTTTCCGTGGACACTGAGATGGACGGATGTCTCTAAAGACATGAAATTAAACTTTTATTATTTTCTCTCTTCTCTCTCTCTTTCTCGCGCGCTCTCTCTCTCCGCTCTCCATATAAAGATTACCTTTCATAGAATATCTCTTTATTATTATTGTTTTGCACTTTTGTTTTTTTTTTCCTTGAAATAGCTCCTCTGCTTTATTTTATGTCAACCCCAACACATTGATGATAAAGACGTCTTGTAATAAGTTTTTTTTTCTTTTTTTTTTGTTTCACTTTCTACATCTTCTTCATCTTCAGCTTCTTCTTCTTCTTCCTCTTCGTCTTCTTCGTCTTCGTCTTCCAAATAGAAAATTAATTCATTTTCTTCACTTCGTGCTATATCAATAGTTCTATTTCACTAGTTATTGTTATTTTCGTCAAATGTGAAGTAATAAATTGAATTAGAAGCCAATTGTTTCAAAAAACTTCGTTTTCCATGAATCAAACATCTCATCTCTGATAAATCAACACATACATCGGCGTTGTTGAGCTGAGAAACTGAGGTGGAATAACACCTATTTACACAAACTCATGAATCGTTTTCGTTTTAAGAAGTCTCATCCTAATTACGTCAAATAGCTTCTTATCACCTTCTAACTTTGAAAACAATGTGTCGTCTACATACACCCTCTTGACTCTTCTACTTGTTCTTATCCACTTGCCGCTCAAGTATTTGAAAACGAACATACAAAAGCTTTAACAAGATTAAACAGACTAAAACGATAATCGTCTACTTCACTTGACAACCAGCATTTTACTTTCATTATCTTCTGTCCTGTCGTTGTCCCCCCCCCCCTTTCCCCTTCATCCACAACTTATGCATGGTCGCTTGGCCATATTCTAATTTCCTTTGCCAATTCCCGTTGTCATCATTTTTGAAATTCCTGGCGCGAAGAACGGTTGCATATCCATAGCTCTCTCATCCAACCAACTTTCATTCCCTACAAAACTTTCGAATTCTCTCTCTCTCTCTCTCTCTCTCTCTGTGTCTCTCTTTCATTTTTCCTTTTTTTTAATATCCGATGGATTACTGAATCTTTCTTTTAATCTGTTAAAAGGAAAATCTACTAAACACATGATCAGATGAGCATTAAGCTTCATATCCATCCTTATTAACATAATTTTCACATTTTTTCTTTTTCAAAGCAGTTTCTTGAACAATAAATTTGTTTATTTAGAAGAAAGCTCAATCCTTTTAATTTTATTTTTTTTCTGTCTTCTCATATCCAATAACATTGGTTGTGAATGAGTCTAGGCTGTGTGCCATATTCCGTTCGAGACAGCGAAGCTCACTCAATAGGAAAAGCTCGAACTAAGCGATTTCGTTGAAAAAGACAAGAAAAGGTTTTTGAAAGAATTTTAGTGAAATGAGATCGGAGGTCCTATCCCTTAATTTGACGTTTCCCGCAGAAAAATGTCAAAGATGCTCTTGAAAACTACTTGAAACCTGATCCGTTGTGTTGTTGAAGAAGAAGACCTTTCAACTTTGTTATGTGACACTTTTTACTTTTTTAAACTTTAACCGTTATGTCCGCTTTATGTGCTATCATTAATTTATAATATTGAACTTGATTATAATGAGCAACTGTTATCCAAAATGCTTTATGTCGAGTTGGGGGTGGAGATGGGGCGGCCATCACACCTGCACCTTCTATTTCGCCTCCTCGAACATTACGACTCAACTGACCGCCTAAGGATCCATTATAATTTATTATTTAATTGATTTTGTCTTATGCTCTTCCTCTATTCCAATTTCATTTTTGTTCCACACAAACTTCTTTCAAGTTCACTCTCTCCTCCTCCTCCTCTCTCTCTCTCTCTCTCTGTCTAACTCTTCCAAAAGCTCATTTGAGGGACACGAAAATAATATTTTGTTTAAAAAAAAAAAGCTCCAAGAGTCGAGAAGAGGAGGTGGACGTGACGTCTTTAGGTTGGTTTTGCAGACAACATCTGCATGTTAACAAAAATAAATGTGAGGTTAACGTTTGAGAATCTTTCAAATCAATCTATGATCTTTTAATTATAACAATTGTTTCCGAAAAAACATCAATCAATCCGCATTGAATCCATCTTCATTAGTGGATTATTCATTTTAAACTTGTGTTATTTGTAATTTTCAAATTAAATGATTGTTGGTCTGCAATTCAATTATTATTTTCCTTCTCTTCATGGTCAGACAGACTACAACATGGTTTGGTCTGTGAAGCTTCTTCCTATGTATATCTCCTCTCTCTCTCTCTCTGCTCACACCCTTTCTAAACATTCTCATGCACCTGCCTTTTTTGGAATTTACAAATTATGAATTTTTCACATTATTTGTTGGCTCACAAACATACACACATGCATACCTATTACCTGCGGTATCATTTCCCTCCTTCAATCGTCTACCTCTCCTCATTCCATTGTCTCTCACTCACGTATTTCCATTCAAGACTCATATATAGTTTCATTAATGAGAAATTGATTTATTATCTCAACAGACTTTGCTGTGTCTAGGCTCTCAACTGGTTGTAATATCAGTGAATAAGCAGACTGACTGAAACAGATGATGATAATGAAGTTGTGACCCTGCAAAGACGACACCTCTTTTGAACCCTCATTTTTAAATATTTTATTATTTTTCCGTTACACACTCACTCACTCACTCACTCATAACCATTTACCTTCAAATTCTATTTATTGAAGAAAAGACGAAGTTGCGAACTTGTCACACACACACACACACAAGGCAGTCACCTTCTGTACTTTCGTCGAAAAGCATAAAAAAAATATTTTTTGTTTTCAAAATAAAAATTTTCTGAAATTTTTGACATCTTTTATGCAATATTTCATAGATTTTATGACGAATATGCTAATTTGTGAACAGAGTAACTACACGCAGCTTTCAACTTCACCAACCACACAAGCAAAGACCGTCAATGTGTTCATTGGGAGAGAGAGAGAGAGATACAACGTGAAAGCGAAACATGCAAAACACTTACTTTCATTTTGAACTGAAGTTCTGTGCAGAGCGGTTGTGTACGTTTTGCCTGTTTTATCAGAATTTTGATGGCCACGATACACATCCACACATCCACACAGCCACCCAGCCACACAGCTACACATCCACACAGCCACAGACGAGCACATTCTCAAACACAAAACATTCATTTAACTTCATTTCAACAGGTGTTAACGAATTTTGTGTTCAATTTCTTACTTTTATATATATTCAATTTTACTTTTACCACTTTTCTATTTCTCTCTTTCTTCTTCTTCTTCTTTCTCTCAATTCGTTAGCACCGTTAGCGTGTGACGTCAAGTAGTGTGTCTATGTAGGTGATGCTCAATGGCTGTCTGACACATATGAACAAGCATCACTCTTCATTACCGTTTTAAATAATGTGGGAGCTCATATCTCTGTCTGTCTCCCTCCCTTACACACACACACTCTCTCTCATCTCCCTTTGTAGATATTTTTGGCAAAAAAAAGGTTGAAAAAGAACGTTTTCGGAGAGAAGATCTTAATCAAATAAATTGACAGTTCCTGTCATTAGCTGTCATTAAAGTTTTCGTTGAAATAGTCAGAAATGAGCGACAAAGGCTCATTAAGCTCTAATTCGAAAGATCAAAAATGCGTTTCTATTCATATTCACGCACGGCTCGGATGCAAAAGGTAACATCTTTCCAGCTGCTGTTTCTCTTTCTCCTTCTTCCTTCCCTGACATAACACACAACACACACACACATACTGACACAGACATTCATTTCCCGCATGAGATTTGACTTTTTTCATCTTTTTGTGTCTCCTTTTTCGGATTCTTTCTTTACAATTTACTTTTGAGATTATAAGAAACACACACACACACACCCAGACAGACATCTTTCTTCTTTGTATTTCCAGTCTATTCGGAGCATTTATCAAAATCTTCTTTTTATGTCTTCGCTTTCTTAAACTGATGTTTCCTTTCCAAGACAAACATTCTTGAGAGGGAATGAGTGAGGCATTGAGAGAGAGAGATATAGAGACTACTCCCTCGTTCCTCCTTTCTTGAAAGCATTTGAGAAACATATCCTTCAAATCTTCTTCCAAACAAACTTCTTGAGCCACGTGTAATTTCCACGTCAAATCATCTCATTCATCGCCCATTCACGTCTACAGAGCGGTTGCTTTTCAACAAAAATTTGAATAAACTCCCACCCCCACCCATCATTCACATCCCACACACACCCATTTTTTGAGTCTCTTTCAACGCACTTTAATGAAATTAAGAGCTACACACACATATCCTTTTTTTGTGTGTGTGGCTGCGTGTGTGTGTGTGTGTGTATTGCCTGAGGGCGTTTTGCATAAGTGCCAATCTTGTTGAGACAATCTTATTTGTAATCACCTACTTGTCTTGCTTTTAATTTTCTTATTTACGTAAAAATTCAAATTTATTTTTTTGTGAAACGGGAGGGGGGGGGTAATGCTTGCAAAAAACAAAGCTTATTAGACTGATTCCTTCCTGCATCAACTCCTGCATCCATCCAGGTTGTCATAATCTCTTTATATGAGGCAAGCGAACGATTGAAAACAATGAAGCCGACCATATGGCTTTTCCTTACAAAGCTCAAGATTAATATTCCGAAATATGTCAAGTTCAGTCAGTTACTCGTATCCGCTCCTATATTCGCCCCACCAAATTAGTCCAAAGTGGTTGCTGAAACTCCAATAAAATCAAAAAAATTGCTCTTAAACTTGTAAATTGTATTACATCATACTCTCTTCCAAGTTTGAACTTGTAACTCCCTCTCTCTCTATCTCTCTCTCTATCTCTGCACTCTTGTACACTTTCTCGTGTCATGAGACAATTCTTTAACTAGAAGACTTCAAATATTAAGCTCAACTTTAGAGAGAGCAGATTAGTGTCTTTTTCCCTCCCTCCCTCACTATCTCTCTCCATCTCCCTTTCTGCAAGAAAAAAAAAAGTTTTTAGAGCCTCTGGACGAATAGCTGATCTTGCTCTTACCACCACTCCCTCTTTCTCTCCCTCTTATTCCTTCAAACTCTTTGTTGTAGTGCTGATCTTCCAAATTCGTCTCAGATTACGTCTTCCCTACTTTCTGTTCTGAGGAAGGCAATCATCTCACAACCTTTCTGTTGAGTAGACCTCAATCAGCCCACTAGAAGTCACTCAGCTTTTGAATAAATAAAAATTTTTTCTGCTTTTTTTGTCTTCTTCCTCACTTCATTTTTAATGGAAATGAGTAATTGTATGCGTTTCAAAGTTGTTTCCTCATTTGCCCACCGAAGCTGCTATCTATTCATGATAACTGCTCTCTCATTTTAGATTCTTCTTTTCCTCCCATCCTCCTTCTACTTCTTAGCATTCATGACTCCTCTTTCCTGTTCTGTTAACCTATTACTTCCTTCTCTTAATTATGCTTTATCGCCTATAATGAACAACAACCTCTTGCAGAGTTATCAATTTCGAAACATGACGACTGTTTCCCGAGCCAATATGATGCAGTTCAGTGAGGACATCATAAAGATGGTGCAGTCGTTTCTTCCTCTTTTTTTTTAAACTCCTTGTGGTTTAAGTTGACTCCTGAGGAGATTGATGAATTTCGAGAAGCTTTCATGATGTTCGACAAGGATGGCAATGGAACCATCTCAACTAAGGAATTGGGAATTGCCATGCGTTCTCTCGGCCAGAATCCAACTGAGCAAGTGAGTTTTATGCAAATGAGACGGGAAATATCTGTTATGAAATACAAATGAAATACAATATGGAATTTATGACATAAATCTTTTTTTTCGAAAGAGAGCGAGAGAGGAAATGAGAGAGAGAGAGGGTGAGGGATAGAGATAAAAGTGAAAGAAAAAGATGAAAACAGAGGGTGTGAAGAGAAGATAGCGGGTGTTGAGGCTTCATCAGAGCACATTCCAGTGATTCCTGAGATCATCTCATGTGAGTCAGAGCACAGCCGAAAGTTTTAATTTCAAAAGAGAAGAACTTTTTTTATAATCTTCAAATGTTTCCACGTGACGTCGGAATCACGTGACGTCATGGGTCATTTAAATACATGTGAACGCGGAGAGCGGTTGATTATTGAAACGGATGAGAGATGATGATGAGCATAATGATGGAAAACATTCAGCTTTTCATTTTTCAGGAAATTTTGGAAATGATTAATGAAGTCGATATTGATGGTAACGGACAAATCGAGTTTTCGGAGTTCTGCGTTATGATGAAACGGATGATGAAAGAAACGGATTCCGAAATGATTCGAGAAGCTTTTCGTGTTTTCGATAAAGACGGAAATGGTGTTATCACAGCTCAAGAGTTCAGATATTTTATGGTATCAAACATTAGCTTGTATCTCTGTCAATCAAGCATTTCCTGTTTAGGTCAATATGGGAATGCAATTCTCAGAAGAAGAAGTCGATGAGATGATTCGGGAAGTGGATGCTGATGGTAATTTTTCATTTTTTGTTTTTTTTAAACAATGCATTGTAATTCAGGTGACGGAGAAATTGACTACGAAGAGTTCGTAAAGATGATGTCTGATCGCTGAAAGTGGAAGAAGAAGAAGACGACCGTTCTTATTCATCTCCTTTTCCACCTTTTGATAATCATTCCCTTTTTCAGTTGATTATTTAAAGCTTGTAAATATTTGCGTGAGAACATACGTGTAACGGCTAGTAACCTACATCCTCTGACTATCTCTCTCTCTCTCTCTGTATTCATGTTCTTCTCTTCTTGTATCTTAGCACTTGAACATTCCTGATACCAGGGGCGCAAAACTTAATTTCGTTGGCCATCATTCCCTTCTATGGAAATCACTAGACTCTCACAACTTGTAAAATAAAAATCATTTTTGTTCTATTTGAAACAAAAAAAAAGAAAAAAAAGCGTTTTTAAATAGAATGTTCATGAATCACACAAACACGAAAGCGAAACGTTCTCTTTGTATTCACAAACCAATCTCTGCTTCAACAAATGTCAGAAAAGGTTTTTTCTTCTGTTTTGAATTATTTTTGAACTTTTTCTCAACAGAATCCAAGTTTCACTAGAATACGTCAGGATTATGAGTCCATTGCTAACCGACGTCCTTCTGGACCCTCGTTAACAAACAGAAGTTCATCTATGATTTCTATCGGCTTCGAAGTAATGAATTCACTACAAAAACATTTTTCAAAGTTCTGCAACTTTAAGGAAGAGAAAAGAAAATCTTTTTCGGAAAATTTTGAAGATGATTTCAAGATGGAGCTTAGTGTCAGTTTAATTTCAATAATTCATACACCGACCCAAATCCGCTACTTCAGCGAAAGCTGGAAAAGCAACGTCGAAGTATAGACTCATATGAGGAGAAGCCGTTTGTCTCTCCTTTAGTTGCACGTAAGTCATCTAGCTTTTCACTGTCTTCACACCGAAGACACTAGAAATCAAAAAATATAAATTAGAAAGTGAACAGCACGAAAAGCCTCCGCATCATTTTGACGGTCGGCCGCCTTCATATCGAGTAAACATAATGGAGGTTCGTAAACACTTTTTACAACTCTAACGAAATTTTCAGGAATTGAAACAAAAATTGAACAAAAACCAAGTCTCCTCTAATTATGATGTTGATCGCATAGTGAAGGAGACGAAGACCACAACAATCACTCAATCAAAGGAGACGATCCATTTCAGAAAGGTTTTCGATTCACTGTTCCTGTTCACAGATCTTTACTCGTTCAGGTGGCTGCCGATGACAAGAAATTTCTGCCATCTACCACGTGAGTTTATAAAATGAAATTTAAATCTATGCTAATTATGTTTCAGGCCTTCTAATGGTAATGTTGTTAGCAAGTAAGTACGTTAACTATGTGTGGGTTTCACAATCATTACAGATGTGATCCTTCGACTTTGAACTCTCAGCAATACATGATGAAGAATGAAGAGAAGAAGGTGAGACAATAAGCTGCAAGTGAATAACTGACAAAAAATAATTAAAGAACTCTCTCAATCACATATTTCCCTCGCACATTGAGCAATGGGAATCGCCAAGGTTATTTCAATCATTCAACTCATTTACTTTTATATCTCATTTAAGATCTAATACCTTGATCCGTCGCGAATAAATCATTTCTTGCTTTATTAAATTTATTTGTTCAAAAGAGAGAGAGAGAACAGGAAATAAACCGTTGTGTATGTCTCCAATGCATTGAAATGAAGAATGGCACGTATCCCACGTGAGCTTTACGTAGCTGTTCAAAAGACCGTGATAATTACAATTTTTGAATTTGCATAACGAACGAATACGAAAATCAAATGTATACATGCTCATATCAACACAATTTTTAAACTTTTTCATTGAAAATTTGCTTTCCATTCTTATGTGCTAGACGTCTTTTAGAAGTTGTTATCCAGTTCCTTCTTTCTATGAAGGTACAGAAGATGAGATAGGCTTGAGAAGGAGAGAGGTTCCATCTTTCCATTCTTACAAAAATAGATTCGAGAACGTGGGAGAGAGAGAGTAAGAGAAGCAGAGAAAGAGAGTAAGAGAGTTAGAGACAGAGAACGAATATCTCACCTCACCTGTTTATACCTTTTTTTGTTATTGTTGCATCTTTCATCTAGCGCTCATATTTTAGACAATGGCATCGAACTCAACTGAGATCGAGTTCGATTATTCCTTCCATAAGCCTTTCATATACAGTGTAGTAGGTATGTTCACACTTCTAGGCTTATGGGGTAATATCAATGTTGTTATTCTACATTTGAGAAAGAAGAATCTATTGAATAAGTACGGTAAGCATCGATGCTTCTTCTATCTATTAACAGGCATACACTTCTCAGGCACTTTACTAAGTTTACTTTCGTTTTGTCAAGCGTTTTGCTTGTGTTTTGAATGGGTAGGTATACTGTACAGTTTGACCGGTATGGATAAGCACCCCTCGAAAAACATTAAAATTTCATTTTTAGTCGAGAAAATTACTCGACATGGCTGTTTCTCTTTATTAGCGCCTTACGTGTTTCTCAATTCAATGCAAACTGGCCTATTAGCCACAATCTCATTAGATCTATTGATTTCAGTCACTTTCCCTATAAGGTAAGTTGGCGCTTCTAGATTTGGCTCTATCCTCATATACAGACATAGAGTAGCGACTGTTAATACTTATATTTTCTACATAAGTATCCCCACAATTAGTTATGGAGCCATTACAGTAGCTTTAGGAGCTCTTTATCTGGATGACGATCTCATCCCTATGTGTAACCCACCAAGCAGCTTAGCTCCCAATGGTAGCAGTATTTTACTTACAGCTGTCTGATTTCACATTACAGTCAATCAAATATGGTATACGGCAGCTATGATAGCCGGGTGTATTACGATAATCAACTATGTCATCACGTATTCGTGGATTTACTATAAAAGTAAGCTAACCACCTGCAACCTCCGCATTATCTGTGTTCTCTCCTTTTTGAAACTGTTTGAAATCCTGTCCTGGCTCCAATTTAGTTGGTTATGATCAATATCTTTCAGGTAGAACTGGCAGAGATCCAATAGAGCTGGAGAAACGAGCTCTTCGTAGCATCACTGTTATTCTGTTCATTTTCGTTTTCACACGTTATATAGGAACGGTTGTTTCCTCAACTCTTCGTTTTTTTCATGTTCATCAAGCAGTTATTACCTTATATCAAAGCTATAATGTAAGTTTACCTTCTCTCTCGCACGACAGGCATGAACATGAGCAATAAGCAATAAGATGAGGAGAGAGATTTACAATCAACCGCTCAGTGCCTACATTTTTTTGAAAATAAGGTTCTATGTTGCAATACACGTCACGTGTACAATATGTTGACGGAAGATATTCAAAATCAGAATATTCTTATTTCTAGGTGTTTTTCGCTTGCATATGTTATAGTCAGAACTATTATGTTTGTATTACGACAAGTTCAGAATATCGTCGTCTACTGTTCGAACAATTTTTTTTGTTTTCCAATCGCACAGCTCGAACAGTTCATCCACTGGCATCATTCCATCAGTCGAAGTCGCATCTCAGTCATTCACTCAAGCCACTCTCACAACCAGCTTAGGACAAATAAAAAGTTTTTTATTCTTTTTTCTGTTTTTTCGTGCTTCTCAAAAGCAATCTGATAATACATATCAACACATACAAAACAACTATGGCAATAGTGATTAAGAACAACAAAACATCTAAATTGAAATATTCAATTGTGGACAATTGAGCTCCGCGCACATGCAGTTCTTCCAGTACTCCATGCTCGGCTGCAAACTCTGTCCAACGAACTAATCTCTCAGCTGCAGTAAATGGCTTATTTTTCATCAATTTTTGCATACGTTTGGCACTCTTGCGATAACTGTAATACATTATCCATCTTTCAGCCTTTTTAACTCAAACAAACTTTTCATCTCCTAAAATGGTATTAATAGCATTCAAAATATTTTTTTCATTCAAGTCCTTTTTGAGTACAACCTGAAATGATTTCGTGATCAACAGATGATTAGCGAGACAGTGTGGGAGATGGAGAGAGAGTGTACATACCTTTCCGACATATCGCTTCTCTACATTACGTCCGTTTCGGAATTGGTCAGCGAAGATGGGAATGACAACTACTGGGACTCCTCTTAGCATAGCTTCTGTCAACCCATTCAATCCACCATGCATTATAAATAATTGAAGACGAGGGTGGGCTTTACAAAACATTCTAATTTGCATAATTCACTCGAGCATATACCTAAAATGTCTGATTGAGGCAGCCATTCAGTGAAATCAACATTCGATAGTTCTTGGAACAATGGTCTGGTTGTTGTATCGTCTGCAACATTTGCTTTCCATACTCATCTCGCTTTCAGAGCTTACCTTTTGAGACACGGAAAAGGAAATGATACTCTTTCTTCTGTCTAACTACTTTAACTAAATCATCTTTTACTGTTGGAGGTAAGGCATGGAACTGAACGATGGAACCAAAGGACATTATGATTACACCCTTCTCTCCCTTCTCCATAATTTGCTTGAATTTCTGAAATCAGAGAGTGACTACAATGATGTCATGACTATTTCTCACTTCATCTTCTAAAGGTTTTGGCTCCTTCACTCCTAATCCTCCGACATAAATTGTTTTATGAATGATTGGTCGTGGCAAATCAAACATTTCATCGGCATTTACGAAACATAAACTACTGTTCCCTGCGATTTCACGGACATTCGGAAAATCGGGTCGTACATGACGGCGAAACACCTTTGAAACAAAAACGTCTTTGGGATCAGAAACCAGCTAGGATTACCTCAGTAGTCGTATCTGTACCCCAACGATGAACAAATAATGTGCCAACATACATATACAAATTGAATAACCTATCCCAGAAGTTCATACTATCCCCATTATCGTTTTCTTCAATTGTAGGTACATATGAGGTTGGAGCTGGGATTCCTGTATAAGATCGGTTCATGAGTTTCTTGTAGACAAAACAAAACACACCTAAATTATAGCTGACAGCATCCATAATGGGAGTTGTGGAAATCCAAAGGATGTTTTCAATGCCCAGATATCTGATATGACAAACGAACTTTCTGTTTTTTACTGTTGTTATGCACAATTACCTGAGAACACCGATTCCACACAAGTCAATCTGCTCAGCAAATGCAACATCGAACTTGTAGTCTATTAGAGGTTGTAACTCTTCTTTCCTTTCCATCATAGCTCAAACATGAAACATGAACTGCCGTGCAAGACAACATCGTTACCATTGCACATGTGTGAGCATGTGTTCTCAAAATAGAGTCTTTCTAAGAAACTCAATCGGTCGCTAGTGAACATGTACTCATCAAGTCCTTCCAAATCATCATCAAAGCGAGTACCTTTGAAAGGAGGAGATTGAGAGAGAGTTAAGAGATGTCAATCTTACTGATATCCTTCATGTGAATAATTTTAGCCTTCTTAGCTCCTTTAAACGATGCTAACGATTTAATGTATTCCGGAACAAACATAACCTATGAAGGGCACTCGTTTTCATTCTCTTCTCATCCAATCTAAACTCACAACTTCATGCCCAGCTTCGGCAAGAGTATCAGCTATTCTACCATTGGATATCAAATGACTAGCAGATATTGATGGACTATAGACTAATACTCGATATGAACATATAATAGGCAGAATAGAAAATATAAAATATGCTTTCAGCATCTGAAAAGGAATGTTAAGCGTAATGGAGGCACAACAAATGACACAAATGTGAAAAGGAACAAGTTTCAAGAGAGGCAGCGAGAGAGAGAGAGAGAGAGAACGAAAATGAGACAAATTAATGTTTTCTTCTGTTATTTTGGTCTTTCTAGTTAATTTGTATTCGGCATATCTTATCTTATCATCGAATGTTAATGTTCCTCTTCATTACTTTCATCTCTCACTCTCTCTCTTTTCCACTCTCTCTCTGGCACCTTTACCCTTTCTCTCTCACTCTCTCTCACTCTCTCTCTCCTTTTTTTCTAACAGAACTACTTTATTTTCTGATATTTTGAACTTCACTTTTCATGTTTTTTTTTCTGCGAGAGCATTATCGAATATTCTTCTGACTGGACGAAAGAGAGACGAGTGCTAATCGATTAACTCGATTGTTGTGGCTTCCAAGCTTCTGCCGTTGAGAAGATGAAAGCTATGTGAGCGCGTGTGTGTGTGTGTTGATGGAGAAGTTATTAGGAAACATTAGAAATAACAATTGGTTCGATTGATTTCGAAGAAACACATGTGCGTTGATCGACGAAATATAATAAGCGAGCGATTCTCTATTCATGGGAAAGTTTAGTTTTTGAAAATCAATAAGATTTATGATTTATTAAAAAATATGAGAAGAAGCACACAAGAAAAGCGCCACGTCATGCGAAAGTCCACAAAAACCACCGCTCAACAACAGCTGGAGAAGCTCACGTTATCCGCTACGGCATGCGAGCCATTGCTTATGAAACGCAGACGAAGAGCGGTTGCATTAAAAAATTGAAAAAAGAACATGTTGAAGAAAAAACTCATATTTACCTACTTTCCACCCATATTGTACGTTCATCCAGTTCTTTTTTTGATTCTATGAGATGCTTTTTACATCAAATTGATTGTGCTGAGTGATTCTTACATTCGATTAGAATTAATCATAAAGTGTTATTAGTTATGTTACAACAACAAGCAATGCATCATCATCTACATTTTTTGTAACAAAAACCGTTTGAATGGAGGAGCGGTGACAGCCATGAATGGCAACTCGTCAAGCAATCGCTTAGCAGTCAAGATTGCAGGATAATTTCAGCATGAGTCTCTCTATGTATGTCTCTCTCTCTCTGGCAGCTCCAATTGCTGGAAGCTCAGAATGAATGGAATCAAAAATAGCAGATTTACATAGTCACAAGATGTATACATATGAATGGACTCAATAAATTAGTTTATTCTGAATTACTTAACTACCTTCACACACGTAATCAGAAAATCCCAAAGATGCGAGGAAAACAAAATTGGAATCATTCATGACACAATCTAGGGGTAGAAATACTGATAAAATCTCAAAAAATTTAAACTAATAAAAACCATGAGGCCATGTTTGATTGTTAAAAAGTGAATTGAAGTAACTATACATATCTGAACTTCTAATGACGTCTTAAGATACACACACACACACAGAGACAAACTTTCGGAGATGGATGGATGGAGGGACAGCATAGACACTTCAATACAACAAATGAACATATTTAGAACTGAAACATAATAAAATCATATTTGACGCTTATATGGATATAATTAACAGCTAGTAAACTACACCGGAAAATCAAAAAGGATTCTGATGAGATGAGAAATTTTAAAGTTTTCGTTAATATTGAACAGACTTAGAGACTCTGCTGATGAGGGATGATGATGGAATAGAACCGGGAGAGACTGCCGATTTCGGAAAACGACTAGCTATTGCAGGACAGCTACCTTCAGAAACAACAAATTTTTTTAAAAAGGCTCACCAAAATCGACAACCGCTCACACATAATTAACCAGAAATATTTAGAGTAGAGAATCGGAAGTCACATAATCTTACGTTAGTTCGGATCTACAGATTCGGAGAGGTTGTTGCCTTTCAACCTCTTGGCCAGTCTGAGCATTTCACTCCAGTCCTACAGAAAACACCTTAGCCAGAGCATCAGCTCCGGCAGAGCCTATTAAAGGCCTGGATGGATGGAAAGCAACACAGTTAACAGATGAATCGAACTTTTTACGATGAGCAGAAATTTCCTGCAAGACAAATGTGAGATGAGAAGGTAAATAAAACTGTTACCTGAAGACAGATCTTCTTTTCCATATTCCAGAGACGCAAGCTTCCGTCATGGCTACCAGACAGCAGATACAGGCCGTTGGGATCGATAGCCAACGAGGAAATTCCGTCCATATGAGCAACAGTGCTGTGAATTTGCTTTCCTAACAAATAGATCGGTTTGGAAGAGAACACATGCGGAAAAAACCTGTAGTATTATCGAAGTAACGGATTTTTCTGTCATCTCCGGCAATGACGGTCATGGCCATTGTTGGATGAGATAAAATTCTTGTAATCAGACCCATGGCTTCTGAAGTACTCACTGATTAACAAAATCTAGACTGAACATACCTTCTCCAAAGTCGAAACTCAAGAGAACAGATCCAGTTTCAATATCAATGATTCTGGCTTGTGCCTTGGTATATCCCGCAAGTAACTGGGTTTGTTCAGTAGATACAAAATCAACGGAGGTGGGAACTGCATCCGCCACATCAATCTCAATGGTGCGCAGGAGAGGTTCATCGAAGTTTCCTGGTTCCCATAGCTTGATAGTACCATCAGACGAAGCAGAAGCGAGTTTATTATCTGAGGAATGATAAGCAATAGCCCAGACAACATCTTGATGTCCTTTCAACTTCTCGGAGAGAACATTAGGATCTAGAACAGACGAAAACTTAGAAGGACCATATTATATCTCACCATAAGCTTCATGAGGATCTGTGTTACTGCTTGGTACGTTCCAACAACAAATCTTTCCATCATGACCACCTTAGAAAACAATACGTTAACTCAGCAAATATTTTGAATAGACAACCTGTATACAGACAATCTCCAGTAGGTGAAAGATCCAAGCAAAGTACTGGGCCAAGATGCCCACGGAATGTATAAATGGGCTCTAAGCCTTCATGCTTCTCGTCTTTACGGGTAGATTCCAGACACCACATCTTGATGGTGCTGTCCTCACTCGCTGTGAACAATACTGGTTCAACAGGATGGAACTAAGAGAAATAATGATAAAGAACTATAAGAATATAAAAAGTACCTGCATTGCCCTGATAGAATCCAAGTGAGAACGGAGCGTAGTCTTGAGACTCCACTTCATTGCGGCAGGAGAATTTTCATAATCCTACAAAGAATATCTTGATAAAGGGTGAAGACGATGACTTACGCTTGGAATGAAGTTGTCTTTGATATCAATAGCCTCGTCAGGAGATAATCCGAGAGCATCATCAAGGTCCATGAAACCATCACGTCGAGATTTCCCCTTTGGTGCGTTAGCTGGGATATTGATTAATTCATCTAAGAAAAGAAGTTCAAATGGAAGCTACAAGAAACTCACCACCTCCAGGTTTTCTGTCATCCTCTTCATCTGTACTGCCGGTATTACGCTTCGTTCTCTTTTCACTTCTACAAAGTATAACGGGGTGATGACTAATAACTCATGTGATTACTTGTATTGTTCTTTCAGGCGATCGATGGCATCATGATTAGTAGTGGACCATTCATCTCTGGTCTTCTCCTCTTTTAAAAAAGAAAATTCATCCAAAGCGCGAGCGGCGTCAGCATCGAACTCCTTACCACGCTCCTCTCCTTCACAATCACTATAGAACGAACACTGATAAATGAATTATAACTAGATTTCGAACCTATCATCGTCTCTCTTTCCTGCTCCATTGTATTTGCCACATGACACTCGTTCGCTAGACGGCCAGTCCCCCTGCACGAAAGTGTTATACTAGTTTAAAAACGTAATGAATACCTCTGGAATCAGACCAAGAAGATTTTTTACACGGAATGACCTGACGTCAAGAATATTTTCACTGTACCCAATCTCCTTTAGTAATGAAAAAAAAAGATGAAGAAAACAACTCAAGAGACTCACTTGTAAATATTGTTTGAGAAGTTGACGTCCCTGCTTCCAAGTCAAAGCACTGCCACTCGGTCCCATATCATCAGTGGATATGGGATTTTCTAAAAGATTAAAGCTAATGAAAACAATTTGAATATAAACACATACCAGGAACAGGCTCGATTTCCGGTTCAACTTCTTCGTACTGTGGAGGATCTTCACCGTTATGTGTGAGACGATAGTTCTTAGCTCTACATACACAACTTCATCGAAAGGATAACACTGAATTGAACTGACCTCTCCTGTTTCAAACAATATTCCAACATTTTGATACGACGAATAAGATCTGCTTTAAGATTTTCTTGTCCTTTGCGCTCTCCTTGGAGGAAGCTAATCCTCGCCTTCATTGAAGCATGTTAAAAAAAAATTCTTCGCAAAATACTACCTGCATTTCCGCTCTTTCCATCTCCCACTTGGCTCTTTCCATTTCACTTCTACTCCACTCATGTTGCAAGTAATGAAGAACACCATGCATTGTGTATGGAGCCTTTTTCAACTGAAAACTGTGCGGTAAGGAAGATTCAAAAACAACTAGTCTCACCCCATCATCTTTCTGCTCTTGGCCTTGCTGGCCAGAAGCATTTTGCTGGTCCTCACTCTGCATAACCAAAATTAGTTCCCAGCAACCTAAAAGCGAGGCAAACTGTTTGAAAATGTTTCATTCAATACGCAGTACCAACAATTCACCAAATGTTATGAGTAGACTGAAGATAACAAACGAGCCACTTTTGCTGATGAAACCAAAGCTGAAAACACCATTGATGAGAGAAGATCACAGTATAGAGTAAGTAGCAAGGGAAAGAAACAAAATTAACAAAATAAGCCTTCTTAAAGTTGAAAAGTAGCCTTTCAATATGTCGGATGTTAGAGGCTAAGTTATTCCAAGCATCTAAGCGCGCGCTGTGGGTTACGCTTGGCATTAGGGCGAACTTCAGATTGGCATTGGGTCATTAAATATTTTGACTTCTAGAGTAATTATAATTCATGCTTTTTATTTTGTTTTATTCTTTTTGAATTGTTTCAAAACACTTTGTGACTCTTTCTCTAGTGTACCGTTAATGTAATTAGTTAATGTAATCATTAATGATGACACGTAGGTGTTTTTTCTTCCCTTTGAACTTACCGTTCGCATAAATTAAAGAGAACAGTTCCTTACACGGCTTGCGCCAAGAGATTGCTTTCTTTTGTTTGAAGTGTGATTTCTCGAACCTTGCCTCTTCTTATCAGTACTCTGATTGCTTTTCTATTGCAGCTCGTATTTTGAATTGAATGCCTGGTGTGGAATTGAGTTGTATCACCAGTATAAATTATGATAGTTGGACTGAAGAAGAGAAATCTCCAATCAAATTGGATAGCTTTGTAGACAACTATGGAATTTTCAAAGTTTGTATTGTTTTCAAACACCAGTCTCCATTTCCTTGTTTACAGAAACTCGAAAAGAAACAGGTGGAGGGCAATTACAGTGTTCAGAAAGATTCGAAGGGTTTAAATCTACTCAATATACAGACGAACCAGATTGTTAAAGTTGTACGGAAATATAAAAAATGTCCTCATTATCTTGAAGATAACAGGTTTGTTATTCCATTTGAGTTCTCTTCACATGTTTCAATTAAGGAGTGTGATAAACATAATAGCCTTGGGTACGAATACAGGTGTTTTTGTGGATTCCTCTAATAGTGTTTGGTCTTTCGATTCTACGGGCAATGAGACTTGTATAGATGCTAAGCATGTTTATTCTTTTTGTAACGATAGAGTAGTCAAAATAGCTCCCGGAAGGTATGTATTGACTCTCTCACTATCCCATCTCATATCTGCTCCAGAAGCCACTTTCTTATTTTATTGAAATGTAAAACAACTGAACGCAAACGAACATGTTCGTTCGGTACCGAAAAATCTCAACTCAACTATGATTTCTGTGAACAATGCAAAAGTGCTGACAAATCGGAACATGAACTGGCCCAATTAATGATCGACGCTGATCAGGTAAAAGAAAATTCTCAGAATTTGCATTGTTACAGTCTCTTTAGAAAGCGGAGCAATCAATTGAAAACGAAAAACCACCTACTCCAGTTGAAAGGTAAGGTAGCTCTTCATACGGCTTCCCATTATTTTTCCAGTCTGAAAGAGCAACTGAGTGAAAGGAGCGCGCTCACTTCTATTTCCGAAGATTTATTCTTGGAAAAGCCATGGGATGTTGTTTCCTATAAAGGTTTGTGAGAAATGTTTCCGTTCAAAAATATAGTTTCAGATCGCTCGTTTTCACAATCCAACCCCAATGAGTTAGATTTCTCTTTTGTATCTTTGGACCGCATATCAATCTGGGATAAAATCGACTTAGCAGACAATAGTACGTAATCACACTGTACATTCTTCTATTATTCATCGTTACAGGTTCATCCGGAGAATTCTCAGAGAATTCAGACTCAAAAGAAGGTTCTTTTTATTGTTTTTAAAATTGTTTCTAACTCGATTACTTTTGAAGATGGCAATGAGCTCAGCTGGCTGGAAGTGTGGTCATACGGTGACAATGAGTGCGGTCAACTCGGGCATGGCGATACGGTCACGAGGTTACTCACCCTCTCCTCTTTCTTGCTCATCTGTTGTTAAAGATCTGACCCTGTACGTATTGTCAGTTTAGTGGATCGAACAGTGGTGGACATAGCAGCTGGAACTAACTTCTCAGCTGCCCTCACAGCAGCGGGCGAGGTATCTTTTTTCCTGAAGATTTCACTTATTCATCCCATTCAGATTTATGTATGGGGTAAACACATATCAAGCGACGGAAGTGACAACATATTGGTTCCAAGACTACAAAAAGTTTTTCCCATTGATGTACATTTACAAACCAAATGTTTCAGCTGGGCTTGGACCAGTTCGCCTTCGACGTTACTACTACGGTCAACGCTCTTTGGATTTTACTAAATGGTCCTCGAACCTCCGTGACACTTTATAGAATTGGAGAAATCAGGGGTGGATATACAACAACCCGAGTGAAACTTCAAAAAGTTAGTTAATTTCCCAATTTTGTATTAAGCCAATCTATTCCTTTCATTTTGCAATCGTAGTTTCTCAAAATTAGCATTTTTTGTACATTCTTAACTTTCCGTGAAATTAGCATACGAGTGTGCGCGTGGCGTGAGTTTGAATTCTAATTAGCATAAGTATAAACAGCGTCATTTTTTTCATTTGAAATATATTTTTACCAAGATGCGGTTGCATTTAGTATATTCTCACGCAACTTCTCCAATATCTAAGAAACAGTTCGTTCATTTTTCTAATTTTATTAGTTTTTTATTCATTTTTGCATATCCATATTTCCAATTCAAGGATCAATTACCTATCAAAATATGCTCGACTGGTTCGGAAGTTCATATGTTGAAGCTGTTACCACATAGTAGACTCAAAGAGCTTCTGACAATCCATTTCGATATTGCTAAAACGGCTAAAATGATTAGAGGTGTTTTGGATATTTTAGGAAAAATAAGTAAGTATTGAACTCAATTGTCGTTAATTGGTCTTATATATAGAGAATTGCACCGAGGATATGTACTTGGCCATGATGACAGATAATTGCTCTTCTTTACTTGCACTGTACCAGGAGTTCTCTACGTAATATTTTATATATATATGTACCATTTGATACGGTGTTGTTTACAGGCAAATGCAATACACTGTACAAATCGTTCAAGACTCAAAGGCGTCTAAAAATATTACTGATGTACTAGTCAAGTTTTCTACACCTAAATTCATCAGCCGCTTGAATAAAGCTATCACAGATTGTGCGATATCGGTCGCATCCGGCTACCTACACTCTCTTACTTATCCGTGAGTAACTTATTCTGTTGGACAGGGGATATTCTCTTTGTTTTCAGTAGCGACATCAAGTTGAGAATAGATCGTTTAGCAACAGAGTACAGCGAAGACTCAGCACAGCCTGCAAAAGTTCTCGGTACTGTGAAGTTCATTTGTGTTTATTTCCATCCATGAATGTTTCAGTCAAATTATTTCATCGAATCATTTTATGGCTCAAGCATCTGGAATTGTATGGACAAGAACTCGCTTCTATTTCAAGAGTTAGTTTATTTTAGTTTTCGGTGACTCCTAGAGTTGTGGACTGTTATATCATCATAAGGATTCTTTTAAACAGAAGAATTCATGTTGGTCTATGATTCCAAGAATTAAAATGAAGGAAGTGCATGAGTTGCCAACTTTTATTACTTCGCTATTCCTTTTGATGACGAACATTGATTCGTCTTAGAATTCAACGATCATCAAACATCAAGTTCATACTTCTTCTAATGGTCGTAAACAGCTCACTTAATCCGTCTACTTGAAACTTAACTGTTTCATTTAGTATACGTACCTGAGTTCAATAGAAGAAGATGATATTTTCATTTGTCTTGACGTTTTGAATTTTGGTTTTATCCAAATCCTGTGATTGTCTAGATATTTATTACATCTCGGGCGTTTGAAAAAGAGAAGAATAGTTCATTTTCTATTTTTAAATTCCGACGATACTAGATCAATTCGTTAATGACGCCGAGTATCATTCATGGCAATGATATTTTACACAATCTTGATTCTGATAAGTGTACATCCTTTTTTCGTTCGAATTATTTCATGAGTTCTCTGAAAAAAATTCTAGTAACGCCGAGAGATTTTTTTTCGATTTCAAGTCTCTTGTTATGATTTTCCTTGGCCAAAAGCATTTTGAAACTATCGTCGTCGGGTGAAAAAGTGTTTGTGAAGCTTTCAATAGAGAAGTTTCTGTGTCTCACGTGAAGATTAAAAGAAACTGTCATATGACAGTTTTTTTGGCTACGTCGAATGATCATCTCTCACCTGTGTATGACCATGATACCAAAAAGAAATTAAGTGGCGTAGATTATCCGCATCCTATTTAATTAATGCGTGAATAGTTATTTTAAAGTCATTTCATGCATTAAGGTGTCTGATCATAGATAGGATAGGATAAACGTCTGGGTATACAAACATGAAACCTCCTTATTAAGTTTCATCATAGAAGAAATTATGATCTCCACCCTAGGTGCTCGCTACTTGAGCCAGGAAAAGGAATCTCATGATGGAACTATCCAACGCGGTATTCAACCAATGACTTAGTGAATATAAATTTGAGAAGCGTATGACTGCTATCAAGTTATATTTAGAGCTATCAATTGATTGTCCGAGAGATATGATATCATCACGTACACGTGATGTCTATCGTGGAATTCTAAGAATCGATTGACTACTCAAAGAACGATGGGTTTTTTGAACTTGTTGATACTTATTGGTTGTCTTGATTGTTGTTCTTTCGACAAGCTTGAACTGAGAAGGGTTTCGAATTTTTCAACAGTCTGATTCTTCTTCTCATATGTTCTTATATTGATCTTTCTAAAGAATTTGAAAAATGTATCAATAAAAGAATTTATTGCACTTAGAACAAGTAACAATTAGTGCTTTAAACTCTGACATTAGATGTGAGAGGACAATATTTACATGAGAGAAATGATATATACAATATACACATGAAGTAAGGCGATTGCTTATGTTCGACATCAGTCGGTATATACATTATTTTTACATTAAAGAATACGAAACGTTTGTTTTCGAAAGTTAAGTATCTAGGAACACTTTGGGAAACTAACTACCCGTTACTGTATGAGTGAGATATGTTCAATAGAGATGGGCACGGAATGAAAGCTATGATGCTCAGGAAATACCTCAGACATCAACTCCAGTAATCAAGTATCCAGATGTCTTCTTCATCTCAGTTATGAATTCTTCGGTGCAGTCGCAACATATTGTGCACAACATTCCCATTGGGTATCCCTTGTTGTCTGTGCATGTGTTCATAGGTACGAATGTTTGATGACAGCTAGCTCCATCTTTTTGAGTTTGATCAGTAAGGATTGATCCATCATTAACGACTGGTCCAACACATCCCGACATACGGCATTTGGGAGTTGCGATCTAGAGTTCCAATAATTAATAACTTATGGGTTCATCTAGAATACTCACCTTATCGAAGTTGCCTCCTTCTAAGAATGTAGCTGCTGGGTTAGCTACAGCTGATGGTTCTTCACCGAAGTTGAAGTAATCGAAGTTAACTGGTGTGGTGGTTTCTTCAACTTTCGCTGCTTCAGGAAGATGAGGAACTACTCCTGGTTGAGTCGTAGAATCATCGAAACCCTCTTCAGAGGCCTTGTCGAATTCTACGAATTTGGAGAAGTCTTCGAAGTATTTTTTCTCTTGTTTCTTCATCATTGGAAGTTTTTCACGTTTCTTTTGGACATGGAGGGATTCAACGGTAACACCATCAACATCCATGTTTACGAACTTTCCATTGGAGTCGAAGAAGATGTTACTGTTATCAGATGATGATGGAAGAGGGCCATCAAGACCTACAAGATAGATATAAGATACTCGCACTGGGTTCATCACACACCTGAGAAAGTAGACTCTGGAAGAGATCCGGAAGGGAAAGTGGATACCAAACCAAATAAAGCGACTACTATTAATAGAAACATTTCGACAGAAATAGATTTCGGGTACAATTTGACAAGTTTTCTCAGAATAGAAACCACGTCAAGGAGGATTTTTATGTTAGAAAAGATTTCTTGTGGTTTTTCCCACAAACTTCCTTATATAGGAGTGAGATGGTTGGAGGGGCGGGGCCAGAAATAGACACAGACACACACGCAGACATGAATATACATGCAGGCTGTGTTGGACATGTGGGGATGGCGCCGTTGAAATCGCGACCTGAAGACGTGATCGTCACGTGGACTTCAGAAAACATTTGATACTGGGAGATCACGGGATTCCAAGACTGACTATGCTCTGGATCGTCGTATATATTTCGTTCTATGGTCGTTTGACGGTTTCTGGCAATTAGCATACAGCATACGACATGCTCGTTTTTTCAAGCATACTGTCGCTGTCGAAACGATTGTTCGTACAACCTTCAATTGAAGGAGCTCTCTAACATCCTTCCTTTTTTAGTGTAGTGTATCGTCGTTGAATACCTCATCTGAATACTCGATCATCTTTTTGAATTAATTTTCCCATTCTGAACGTTCTTTATTCAATATGCTCTCTGGTTCTCTGGTCGTGTTTTAATTAACATATTTCTGAACGACAAGTGATAACAGTCGTTTTCGCTTGGTGATGTCGAATTGAGAGTTGAATCAAGGTCGAGCTATGTTCGACATACACGCCATTTTCCATGGGCATCCATGGTTGTCAGCGTATCAGTAACAACACTTTTCTAACCAATGATCCCGCTTGCCAGAAATGAGATGTTAAGTAGTGAGGTTCTCAAAAGCTGTTTTCGTTATTACTTATTTTTTCATAAATTTCAAGTTTTGATCCGTTGTGTTTTCTCTGGTTTTGAACCGTTGCAAGCCAAGGCAAGATATGAACGAAAAAGTTTTCTGATACGAATAATTGGATCTAATGAAAATAGAAACGTAGTTCTATTTCCTTATAATGTGGTTAGTGAAACTGAGAGTGGAAATCCCCCCTCCGCATCCTTTGAAGCTGTTCCCCTAACACTTTTTCCTAAGTTCTCCGTTGCATCTAATCCTTGTCCTGGTTTGGATCACCAATTACGTTATACCAGTGCTGTTATTCTATCTAATTTTAGCGACTTCGAGCTGAACCAAAAAATTTACACGCTTCTTAACAGTCTTCAGTACATATCTCCTCTGACTTTCAGTGGCTATCATTCTCTAAGTTGTCCAGCACCTTTCAAGTGTTGTTTACCACGATGTGCGCCTTGATTGATGGCTATCTGACACTGTCAGCGACATGAATATACGTCTGCTGACTGCCCAAATTAGGCTTTCAAGTCATCTTCATCTGTCCAAACGTTTTCGCTTCAGAAAACTGTGAGTTCGTAACCAGACTACGTGATAATATCTTACGTTCATATACAGTTCATTCGTACATATTCGATACATGTCATCCTTGAGGGTACTTCGTCTATTATCAGAGTTCTTTTAACCGTTGTCGTGCAATCCAGCCGTACATCATGTTTTTTACGAACACGTCATTTATTATTATATTCTCAAGGCTGTCTCTTTTTGAAGGGTCTGAGGTACTCGTGTATCGAACAAAAAATAGCAGAATCTTGAAGGCACTCTTATCTTATTGGAATCTTGGATGCACGTTAATGATGCTGCACAAGGGCGTCGTCTGACGGGTAGAAACCGATTTCCCTGTGCGCTAATGGCTATAACCCTACACAGCTTTCGATAGAGTCGGGACGCGCCTAGACCGGTTAAAGCCTAATGTCCAGTGGTTTACTTGAAACTCATTTTCCAATTACGGACAGTTTGAGGTTTTCCGCGTGTAAAAGACGGCGTTCAACTATTCCATTTAATCGGAATTTTCGTTCGAGATGAGTAACTTCCTGGATGCCATCTGTAAAAACCGTTTGCAAATCCAACCTAAACAGGAACAGCCTCAGTTTGACAATTCTCTGCGAAATGTTGATAAAAACAACAAGTTTTATCGTCCTATAATTCAATTTTATTTAATTCAGCAAAATCGTTGGGTTTTTGAGCCATTTGATGGCGCCAGTTCGAATTACCGATGTTTTCTAATGAGGGTTAAAAAATTGGAAGAAAAAGTAGATTGTCTGTGTCGTGTCGTTACCGTAAAAACAATCATTTGGGAAACTTTCTTCTGCATACAGAGACAACAACACCTAATATCGTTCAGAACAAGAATGATTTTGATCGCAGCTCAAGTTATATTGCGTTACTCGTTCTGAAGAAAGTATTCAAATGCCCGATTTGATACTCCAGTCGCACTTTTGTTTTCCTATTCCTAAATTCTTCCCATACTATTCAGAACCTGTCTTCAGGAGACAATTGTGCGAACAATGTTCATAGAGCGATTTATAGCAAGTATAGCTGTAAGAGCAAGTTGTTGATCTGAGTAACTTTTAAGACTCATAAATTTTGATCCAACTTGGATGCAGAGTTTGATACTGAGATCTATCTGAATTCAGATACGGATGAGATAATCTGCAAAGAGAATAATCGTCTGTGTAATTCCTTGTAAAGGACTAATTGGAACTTTGATTTTTCATTGAAAGCGCCGAAGATATCTTGTCTTAACACAATGTTCAAGACCATTCAGGGAGCTAAGTTCTAAGCCGCGCACGTCTCCCAGAAATCAAACCATTAGAATGGTAGAGATTGAGGAAGTGTTCGAAATATGCGAAAAATGACAGGAATGTTTACGTTTAATCACTTCGTAGCTGTCATAATTGAAGCCTTTTAATGGTTGTCTTAGTTCGTTAACTCGATTTGCTGACGCGTTGTGACACGGACATGAGAAAGCGATGTCCACATAAAATAATGACTAAAAGGTTTTTGTGTTTCTCGGAATGTTTATATGAGCGTCCATCAGCTCTCTGCTTCAGGAAATTACCTCGAATGGTAAACATGAAGTTCGTTTCGAATAATAGTCGAAGAGAGAAACTTCGCGGATCAAAAAACTAATTCGACTGTCCCAAAAGAGGAACTTATATAATTATATTAACATATCATTTTTCCTTCTTGAATATTACACTGAAAGTGCTATCAGCGTGATTAGTTGTAGAAAATAGGTTCGTTAGTTCACCGTCACTGTCATTATTCATGATTCAGACGTTTTATTTCGAAAAGACAGATAGGCTGGTATATAAGAGCAATCGTATTTTACAGATATATACGAACTGCTTCAAGCAAGCAACGAACAGATTGTCTAATAGTTTTTGGGGTTATTACTGAAGAAGAGCGTGTCTTATAGGAAAAATGTGTAAACGAATAGTTAGTTGAAGGGGTTTTCATGTTATAAATAGAAATCCTACCTATGTGACTAATCCTCTGATTTTTTGACGTGCCCAGCTGTCAAACTTATCAGAGTCTTATATGAAGGAAAATTGATGAGAATGATCAGCTATCGCTGATCAAAATCGCTTATGATGTTTTACGAAAAGGATAATGATGAATAGAAATTGAAATATGACGCTCATCTGCGATGATAAACAAATACACTCGTGCTTGATTATGAAGAATGATCAGCGTGATATCTGTTCCATTTTTAACACCTAAAGCTAGAATGTTGATCTTATTATCTTAAGATGTTTTTGTAAACGACCATTCCCTTCCAATCACAGATCATGCGGTTAGATTGAAGATCATGATTATTCGTTATAATTTTCCACCAAAACTCAAAGGTTCAGTTTTTCATGTGTTTCCATATCATTCAAGAGGCTAGTTATGACGTCTGAGAAAAAAAATATGCGAACATGTCATATCATTCATTCTTTCTTCGCTTCTTTTACTTCAGAAGGCGTTGACATGCCATATTTGACATGTTTCAAATTCTGTGAGAAACATTTTGTCTTTTCGCTTTTTTGAGATATTAAGACGTCAAATTCAATTACATTAAAGAATCTTCCTTTCAAATAAACAACACGCGCACTTAGGCCAAGTGAGATGATATGAAAGTGAATAGTGGAATGTTTGACAATCATTTTCGTGTTCATGAATCTGATAAGATTAGAGTTCGTATTTCAAAAAATTAATTTTTAACAATCAAAGACATCGTTCTTTGAATAACGTCAGAAATAGTCAAAGAGTCAGGCATGATGACATGATATGATAATACTGCTTCCTTCATTCTAAGTCTGTCTAAGGTCTTCTATACTCTGTTCTTTCAGGATGATTCCGTTCGCTCGGTTCTCAGCTCATCATTCCAAATTTGGCAGAAATCTTCCGCATTCCTAAAACGGCTTATGTCGCTCGCAAATCAAACTCAAACTCTCTGGAAGGATGTCAACTTGGTGAGTTGTTTTGCTGAACTTTTGTTGCAATTCCAGATACAAAATGATACAATCTTTGAAAGACAGCAAATGTGTTATCTGTCGGTAAATGAACTAAAGGATTAGTTGTCTCAAATGGCTTCGAAACATTCAATTTTCCTTCCTGATGGAAGTATTGTTTTTACAATTAAAAAACGTGATTTCAGATGCGGCTACATAAAATAGGGAGATTTCTTCTCGGGTCTTACAACGTCGGCCTCAAAGATGAAATAAAGAAAATTACTCTAGAAAAACCAAGATACCGTTTGATGAATCCGAAAATCAGTTCCATTTATGTGTTCAGTGATTCATTAGTTCTTTTAATTGTAAGCTAGGACTGGAATAGCTTCAAATAATGAGAATTATTTTTAGAACAATGACATTCGCAGCTACGACTTAAATTTAGTATGGACCGAGAAAACGCCCGAAGAATTGATATATGTTAAGACTCCAGATATGGAGTGTAGTTTGGAGTTCAATGAGGAAGAAAACAAAGAGGGTGGCCAGAATTGGGTTCATATCTGAAACAAGGCTGGACTAACAATATCGCTTACAGAATGCTTTCTCCATGCAATGCCGTTATCCATTTGACCCCTTGATGGAAGGAGTTCCTTATCCACTCACCAGATATGGAAGACATCAGTTTTCTAATGACTGTGAGCGTGAGAAGCTGAGGCTCTCTGTTTACGAGGGCGAATGGAGGCGTAATCGTATGCACGGAAAGTATAACCTCAGTTTATGTTCCGCGTCTTAATTTTTCACTTTTCAGGGGAACTTTAACGTTTCCCAATGGGGATATTCATAAAGGAATGTTTGTAGATGATGTATTGCATGGGTTAGTGCTTATTTTGTTCCTTTAACGTTGTACTATTAGGTTTGGCGAAATTCATAGGGCAGTTTTGGAGGAAGCTGAAACCAATAGTGGAATGCTCTCGTCCTTTTATCTAAGCTCTTCCTCCAAGTCTGTCAAGTTTAATATTTTTCGAGGAGTTTTTAATCGAGGAGTGCTGAATGGAATTGCCAAGATACGGTGGGAGCACTTTTCAATGAACTCAACAGTTTTTTTCTCAGATATTTTGATGAAAGAACGTACGAGGGGTATGTAGTGAACGAGGAACCTTTTGGATTTGGTTTGATGAGAAGTGCAACTAGAATACATGTGGGATCTTTCCAAAATGGATTAGAGAATGGATACGGTGTCGATGCTTGTGCAAGTATGTGCACTTGAATTGTTCCTATTAAGTGAACCTATCCTTGTCAGAAAGCAAAACTCTTGGTGAATTCGGAAACACCAAAGATAAATTGAATCGGCTTGTGGTAACTATAGACGGAGCTGTTACTGAAGGAGAAGTGCTCAATAATGTTTTCAAGGTTTTGAACTTCTCGAACATGTTCCTCAATTTGTATTACTAGAATGGTCGAATAACTGCAGTAATGCCAGACGGAGATACTGTAGAGTATGAAGGAGAGATGGACGGAGCAAATATAGGCAGAGCAGTAAGGAACAAGATATAACTTGAAAATCAGATTTCCTAGGGAAAACTTATGCTGACGAAAAACAGGAGCATAGTAGGATCTTTCAGTGGTAACATACTTAACGGCGAAGTTCATATTCTGGAAGGAACAATGGAGTTTTCATCTGAACGAGAAGACCTTATGAAGTAATTACAGTATCGTTCTTTCTCAGCAAACATTGTCTATTCCAGTAACGAGGAACCTAAATTGTCGATTTGGTCAGTACCATTAGAGAAACGTTGGAAGGATATGTTCGATAGCTTCAAACAGGAAGAGCTAGGAGTGACAGGTATTCTGGAATAACATTCGTTCCGACTCATTGACTAATCTAGGAGGTGAAACAAATTGCGGGCAGGTGTGGAGTAGCATAGTTTGGTCGATGGAAAGAGGTAGACAGTTACTATGCCGTAACGCAGGGTTTGTACTGAAGAACCGTTCGGAAATCGCATGTTACTTCTTGTAGAAATAGTGATGAGAAATATCCATTGAGAAAAGGATTCTGTCGGGCTCTTGAACATATACCGGACTACAACTCACCGTGGTCCCTGTCTTACTACGAAAGCGTGGTGGAGTATTGGCGTCTTGTAAGCTACACTGTTTCTGAGTTATGTCAGATCCGATTTGTTATAGGCTCTAGATAATGCATATCATCCCATCTGTCGCATAATGATGTCTGTGGTTGATGTTTTCCAGATTTCTTATGGGGATGTTGCAGAGCATCGGGCATTATATTCTAATGCCACATTAGAAGCTATCAATTTGATTAATAGAGTTTATGAAATAACGAGGTTCGTCATATTTTTAGAAATACGTTAAGGATGCATATTGAAGGACCCTCTTCCCATCTCTGCCCTCTGATCCCAATCATGTTATTTCTTATGATTTCGAACCAGACCATTTGTGGTAAATATTATCCTTCGGCTCAAAATATCTCCTATACTTAGCTCATCTTCGAATGATGTTTTCAATACAACATCTTCTGACGAATCGGTTCCAACATCATCAGATTCGTCCCCTGAAAAAATGAAATCATCGTAAGAAATCGAAAATTCTGTCTTTGAATTATATAAGTGTTTCAGATCCAAGCAAACTGATAAGTTTCGCTTCCCAGTGCCCGCAAACGATTTTGTCAACGATGTTAGTTACATGCAGCTTACATGAATTATCTAATCAGTTTTAGGCTTTTTTTTCGAGATGTGGTCCAGTTTTATTCTCGATTTTCTCTTTGTATAACAAAGATGTTAATGATCGTTACTGGGAACGGACAATGTATCTAAACAACTTCACTGACGTCAAAATTTTGAGATACCTCAGTGTCCCGAAGTTTGCTTTCTTACGTATATACCACAAACGAGCTTTTCTGTAGAGAATTGTGGCCTTGGGAAATGGATGAAGATGTTATGAACGACTTAGATAGACCATTGGTACAACCGTTCGTATTTAGATTTGCTCTATTCTAATCATTATATAGACTATTGCAACGGCTAGAGATAAATTCTACTCAAATGCAGTCCACATGCTGCAACAGTTACCTATGGAAACGAACCCTTCACAGAAGCTCAGAATACTTGCAGGGACATTCAGCATAATGAGATCGGTACGCTACATTTTTTTTCAAAAGTTTCAAACCCCCTTCGCTCTACTCGTTGTCGTTTTCACTAACATTTACTATTGGGAACTGAAGTAGTATTTTGGTAAGTATACATGACGCGGAGAACGGTTGCCCTCTTTCTGATAACAGTTTCCTGACACTATTTAATCTTTGGTTATAGTTTGGACTTGAAAGTTAGGTTGCAAAAGGGAATGAAATTTCCACTTTTGTAGTGTGTACGTAGATTTTTGAAACATTGGAGAAAATAGTAGACTCTGGGGATTATTAATTTAAACTAGTACCTTCTATGAGATGCTGGGAAATTTTCTGCTCTCTTGCAGTTTTGAATAGTGAATAGTCTATTATCATTGCCTTAAGCTTCGATGTTTTGGTTTAGTGAGGCACTATGTTTGCACTTCAATGCAATAGAGATACTTTAGTATTCTCAGTATGTGAGACAAGTGTTGAACACATCAAGATAGTTTTTATTTAGTTTATAATTTAAATTTGTGTATAACATGTAAAAGTCAATGAATTCAATTCAACAACTGGGGCAATGCTGACTTCTAGTAACAAGATGAGAAACTGTAGTCAATTTCTTGGATGTTGTTGAGAAGCTCGCTTAAAGGGTAAAGGTGATGGAAAAACTTCAGTGGGTGCAGAGAACACAAGACTCGAGAAACATAAAGCGTAGTTGCGGATGAGAATAATATATACTGTATATTTTACAACTGTATTAGTTGTGAGCAATGCAAGCCGGGAAGAGCAAGATTCTCTAACCCTTCTAGGAATGACTCTCACTCTTGGACAACAATCTAATCTTTTGCCACTCATGTAGAATTTAGAATTAGTAACATAATTTTCCCTGAATGTACATAAAACTGAGAAGGACGTTGAAAGAACCCCAATTTGATACCATTCCATATCTTAGAACGAGAATTTAGAATATATTCCGGTAATGAAATGAGATTTGATATAAAAAGACATATGGGAGTGAACATGGGGGAAATAAACAATCTGAACAACTGGGGCTCTCTACCTCTAGACGTTAAGATCAGAATCCTCTTACTCTATCGTAACTGTGGGTTTCTAACTCTGGCGACTTTACTCTGTAAGGTCTGGATCTTAACTATTAACTGAATAGTAGATCTAAAAAGCTACTGATCACATATTATGCGATATCAGCTTTCACTTATCATTACTAGAACTGACTGGGGTCGGGGCATGGAATGCTTGAAAACAATATGTGAGCGGAAGAACTTGGTAAAGATTCGTGAAAAAGAAGAATTTATACCTAGGGTCAATAAGTATCTTTTTTCAAAAAAATTCATATTTTTTGATTAAATTAGACGGAGATGCATAGAAGAGCAAGTTTTGTAATGGCTGTGGGGGTAAGGTGATGGGGTTCGTCTTAACACTCATGGCAACAATAAATAAGTTCACACTCAACAATAGATTCTCTGAATCTACTGAGATGTTAAAGTGTATATAAGCACGTTGATTTCATTTCATGATAGAGCTCTAGACTGCTTGATAACTGATTTGAATTATGAATGCATCAAAGTTCTCTTGAATGTTAAATGGACCGTTATAGTTCAGAATTCAAATCAATTGTCAACGACAAGACTAATATAGAAGTTAAGAACTACTATATCGATGAAAAGGCTAGGAGGAAACGAAATGTTATGGATTATCGAAGCAAACTGGCAGGAGTATTTACATACTATATACACTTGAAGGGTGTAATCAAGATGAAACATGAACAACAGAGAAATAAAAGAAACAACTTAGTGGACGAAGCTTGTCACTGCTTTGTTTAGAGATCAGGGATGTACTTTCAATTCGAAATATGTGTCTTATGCTTCTAGCTTTAACTCTCGAACGATAGCGTTTTCTAGAATATCGCTAAAAGATTGTTTGGGAGAATCAGCACTAATGTAACCGGAATCATTGCTTGCTTTGTCAAGATCTTTTCCTTCATTTTCGGATTTCCACATGCCAACGCAGAAGGCAGCAATAGCATCAGCCATATCCGTTCCTTCACGAGCTTTCTTCTGTAACAAAATATAGTTACTACTATCGGACAAATCCCTCTAACAAATGATGAGCTACTATTGAAAGCTAAATTTCTAAGCGATGAAGGTAAACCATTGTCGTAGACTTCGACACTGATTCGTTTATGTTTGGTCAGACGGACTTTTTGCTAGCTCGATCATAAGAGTTTTGCTGAAGCCACGGCGACCCATTTGTTCGCTGGGCAAAAAAGTAATAGAAAAAACAGTTCGCTCGCTCCTATTTATATTGATCAACCGACGAATCGAAATCAAAAATCGTGCGGTAGACGTTTTTTCCAAAGTTTTCCGTACTCAAACAATCGAATGTTGGAACGCGAGGAAAAATTTGCAATTCTCATCTCATTCATGGGTGCTTGAATTCTTACCTGGTACTTGGGGTGATGACGGAATGGGCTGTCTGGTCCAACAGATTCAGGAAGGTCTTGGTCATCAATAATTCTACGAATTCCCTTTCCTATCTCTTGACTTTTCTTGGCATTATGATCGTTGTTATTGAGAACTGAAACTGTAAGCACATAAGAGATGAGTTTGACGTGTTCAGTTTCAACCTATGACTACTCACGCACTAAATCTAAGGCTTATCATTTAAGACTATTTAAAAGCTTTCTATAGCTAGGTGTGCATAATGTGGTTTTAAACAGATTCGCTATGATGGTAAATTGACAAAAATTACCTTTCGCCATATCCATTCGCAGTTTGAACTCATCTTGACTAGTTGGAATAGGAGGAAGTCTTATTTGATTGGGCTCATCCTCGGTCTCAACCAGATGGCGAAGAACTGAAGATCCTTCTCCTCTCATTGGACGAATCGCAATAGGCTTAGCAGGTGCCTCCATTCGGTGACTTCTTTTGCGTCGTCTTTCAATTGGGCTTTCCTGAATTGATAATAATTAAATAATGACTGGATATATATAACTAACCCTGGTGTTCTGCAAAGTAGCAGCACTACTGAATGCTCGTGGACGCACATCAGGAGTAATCTGATTGTTACTAGAGACCGGAGAAGGCAAAGCGGAAACGGAGGATCGCAGTTGGTTCTGAAACTGTTTTTATACTAAGCGATATAATCTATTCTAATGAAAATTAGTTTGCGAATGGTTTTCTAGTGAATCAAAAGCCCTTTTGTCTCTCCACTCATCTCTTTTTTTTGGTTTTTATCTTAATAGTTCATCCCTTAGCAGCTTCTCCATTTGCTCTCTCGCTGTTCTTCCTGATTTTTCATTCTCCCTTTCTATCTTTATATTTTTCTCCGGTATTGTCGACGTCAAGGACATCGGAAACATGTACTTTACGTCGGTAGCCCACCAGATAGTTGAAGACACGAATCCGTCCCGAAAGCTTAGGGACTCCCTTTCAAACGTTAGGAAAGAAAGAGTTTCTAAGCACTAAGCACTGTTAGGAGCAGTTGCACTAGGTCTAACTCTGTTTTGATGGCTAAGTCTTTCTTATTTAACAGGGCAAAGAAAGTAGAGCATTGTATAAGACAATTCTCTTTCTAGAGTGAAAGTCTATAGTTGTTATATATCCTCTTGTTGGAATTTTCTTTAATAGACAATAACACCTACCATGTTCGAAAGGAACCCAAAGGAGCTATGTGGTGGAAGAGCTGGAATTCCAAATGGCAATCCATTTAATGTGAAGGTATTCATACCCGAATACATAAGTCCTGATCCGCTAGTAGCTGCTAGAGTAGCAGTAGGAGTAGTAGTAGAAGGGTTGGTGAATACTCCTGTATTGGATCCAACGTGTGTAGAGGAAGCTATTGTTGATGCTATAGCAGCAGCAGCAACAGCAGATGCAGCTGCTTGATTATGGAGTTGTAATATAAAATGGTTGAGCTGCTCATTATTGAAAATATGCGATTGTTGCATTGGCATGATGTCTTGTTTGGAAGTTGAAGTCTAAAAGAAATCAGTTAATGAAGTGTGTGTTTGTGTGAACGAACTTCAACGTTAGCAGAGTTTCTGAATTCTTGTGGCATTGAAGCGAGCAACGCCTGTAAGTCTAACTGGCCGAGAACCGATGGGTTTTGGTTGTTCATTGCCTGAAATAAGGAAATAAAAATCCAAACTAAAGTACGGAAGATAACAAAGACGATTTCAAGACAGTGTATATCAAATATTGCGAAAATATGAGCATATTCTTGACGTCAGTAGAAGTTAGTTAGAAGAATGAGGAGTGGGAGGACAAAGGTGAAAAAATAAGAAAAAGAATGAAAGAGGAAGAGAGAATGGCTTTGAGCAGCATCATCATCATCATCACTTGCAATCGCTCTCTTCGTATCTTCTGCGATTGTGTGTGTGTGTGAGAGTGTTATAACGCTTTTTCTTTTTCTCTTTTTCTTAGTTCGTTGTGGAGTTTGATCAGTCACGTTGATAACTCCAACGAACTGCCAGAGGGCATCGTTGATAAAGCAGAATGATATGTGATGTCATTTCCTTTTTTTCGTGTATTTGTTATGGTTGCGAAGACGATTCACGACTTAAACTTGAATCTGAAGCTTGGAAGAGATAATATAAGTACGTAAACCTCATCGGTAGCTCTCAGAAAAAAACGTTAGGGCAGGTTGTAATAATGACATGTAATGCTTTGACTCAGAGTGTAATTGAGGTTCATGTGACTCTAAGAAGATAACTTGAGAAGGAAAGTTAGCTGTTGCCACATTTGTCGTGTGGTGATCAGCTAAAACTACAAACAAAGAGGCTGATGTTGCGAATATGGGACTAGGTCGTACGTTTTTAACCGAAGTACCTGAACGATTCTAAAGCAGAAAAAAAAAACGAAAATTGAGAATACCAGTTCTGCAGATCGTTTGATAAGATGCTGACAAAGATGAAACGGAAAAAAATGGCTGAAAAAAGGGAAAAGATAGAAATGGCTGAGAGAAGATGGAAAACCAAAGAAGAGGTAGAGATCGAGACGGTTTAGAATGAACAGTAAACGAGCAAAAGCTATCAGAAGGTTATGAAATAAATGAAACCCGGAAAAATCTGTGACAATCTAGCGCCTGAATATTTCCATATGCACAAAAGAAGTGTACAAGAGAATATCTGGGGTTCTGTCGACAAACAGCCGGCAAGCCGGAGGTCGCATGTCCTTTTTGGGAAGAACATAATGATCATGGCACAGGTGTGAGTCATCGATCGAAATCGGAAATGCAATGAAAACGCAAAAGCTTCTTTTTCTGATATTTTTGGTTTTTTGCGAGAATCTACTAGTTTATATATGTGTATGTTGAAAGACATATAGAATTATATGAAACGATAGACAAACAGATTGATGCTGTTGGAGACGGGGGAATGGGGAGAAGCGAACGAACGAACAAGCGAATGAAGGAAGTAGAAGTTGAAATTGAAGTAGAAGTAGAAGTAGAAGTAGAAGCTTGAATACTATAGTAGCCTTACTAACCATACGAAAATTCGTAATAATTGAGATTTATTAAATAACTTATTGGAGCCAGGAAGTGATCCAGCTGATAGATTTATGCTGTATGCGAAATATAGACTGCTTAGGCTATTGCTTGAAGAAAGAGTGGGAGGAGAAGACGAAAGTACATCTGATGTTCTGCAATATTCGTTGATCTACCCTCTGCCCTTCTCTCTCTTTCTCCCCCTAGGCGTCCCTTGGTGTTCTCACTTCTATTCTCTATCTTCTCTTCTTTTTAGCATTGTTTTGGATCACCTCCCTGCTATTCTAGCTTTCTCGTTGAACGTTCATCCGTTCCTTTTTTCTCTTTTCATTTGGCGTCTAATTCTTTGTCGTCAACAACTTATTTCTTTACTTCTCTCATGCTCTCTTCCTCTCATTCTCTAAGAACATTAGTTCTTTCGCCTACTATCGTCTATTGTCTCTAATGGTTTCATTTTCGATGCTCAATCTTTCTTATCACTTTTTGTTCTTCCACCTCTCTCTTCGCATTCCTCATCTCAACACTCTATCACTCTCACACACGCTGATTCTCTCTCCTCGCAGTCTTCGTGTAGTTTTTAGTTTTTTTTTTGTTTTTTACGTCGTTATCTCTTTAACGAAAGAAACGACTAGCGTTTGTCTATCATCCGTACTATAACCTTTCTAACTAAATATTGGCAAGAAGAGATTCAATAGCGTTCGGGAAATGACAAGAGTTTTCAAACTTGTTATCCATTTTGGATATTATTCTTCAAGTTCTCTACGGATCCAATAGAAAGAAGGAAAGAAAGTGACAAAGTAAGAAAATCGTAGAGTACTTCTCAACTATTGTATATTAAGTGCAGCATAGGGGCAATATGGGATGTCGTCAGACTAGGAATAGTTCGTAGAACAAACTTCTGAAATTCATTCCGTTTGGCTAGTCATAGCTCATAAATGTTTTGTCATGGCTTAAATTGAAACTCTGATCATTACTCAACTTGGAGAATGACATACGAGAGAATCAAAGCAAAGGTTAGAGAAGGTTCCATACCCTCTATCGTTCTCTCTCTCTCATAACAAATGTGAGACGATTCGAGAAAGATTCGATAAGAACTAAATTCGTGACACAAGAAGTACAATATGGCTTATTTCCGAACAAAAGGACTATGATACCATTAATGATCATGTCCTCGGGGAAAGACTCAAAAAAAATTTGTGTGGCTGTATGTTCATGGTAGGATCTCTATCTCCCTTTTCCTTTTCGATGCACTTCTTTAGTTCTTTCTCTCTCTCTCACTTCCCCCCAATAATATTCCAATCTCTTTCAATCGTTTTTGATCAACGACTCCAGATTGACGGGGTTGGGGGATGGGTCGAGCCCTTGTTCGTTAGGTCCTTTAGTTCTCCTTTTGATGCTGCCCTAAATGGCCAAGAAAGTGCGCAAAAGTGCATCTGTCCTCTAACATTACGTGCCGACTTAATTTTATTGCCCAGAGGCAGAAGGTGGACTTTTGTTTTGCAAAACTTTATATACTTCGAGACATGTTTATGACATGTGAAAGCATCCTTAAATGGTAGACATGTAGTAGTCTGTGATGTAAAAAATGGACAAATGAGATATTATTTGAACTGAGTGTGTATTGAGGGATAGAGAGAGGGCGAGGGGTAGAAAGAGGAAGAGAGAGAGACAGACTCAAGTGACAAAAATATTTAAATATGTTGGCCTATTGATTAGGGCTGTTTGTGCCAAAACACGACGAACATACATACACACAATGATTGACAGCATTAGATCAATTTGATATCGAGGAGGAAATATATTTCGTGAAGCTAATATAATGAAAAGAAATGTGTAAAAATGGAAAAAAAACGAAATGACATCATAAGTACATAAAGCTTGAGGCATGTAACCCAATCGTAATTATAGAAAACGATGGCAAATAACGAAATCAGGTGGAAGATGTTGAGAAAGATAAATGTGACTGAGTGCACTATGTCTCTATATACCATCTATGGTCAAATATAAGACAACAATTAAAGAATATATGCGGATTCTCTATTCTTGTTAACATATAGCAAAGGATGTGTATGTGTCTGTCTGTGTGTGATATAGGAGAATGAGAATGTAACACCGGAGATAGAGAGAGAGAGAGAGAGAGTGAGATGCTGTTGCTTCGTGGTAGTATAGACTCTCCTATGAGAGATGGTTTAAGATGGAAAAGTACAAATATTCTGTTCATTTTCACATTAAAGAACCTTCTGCTTTGGCGGAATGTCTCTTCAAAAATAGAAGAAAAAAATGGAAAATGACAATGTGAGAGAGAGAGAGAGAAGGACGACGACGACACAGAAGATTTGCTACTCGTATAACACGTGAAATGAAAAAAAAAGACGACGATGTTGTTTGAGACGTAGAGGAAAACAGGTTAGAAGTAGAATGAAGTAGAGTGCAGACATAGTTCATCATATAAACAACAGTACGTCGTCGTTTTGTGTTAAAAACTACATCGTTGTAGTCGTTGAGTTATGAATCTGAATTTCATACAACTTCGGGGATGAAAAAGTTTCGAAGACTATATTGAAAGTCTGTGGGAGAGTGTGTGTCAGCAATCACAGTTATTTACGAAAAGAATTGTTTTCGTTAAAATAGTCAAAAGAGCTCGAAGATCGGACATTGGATTTTCAGTTGTTCTAACAGACACAGACACATACACAGACACACACACACGCATACACATGCATACACTCTTTATGGAAATTAGACTGAAGAGGATGAAAGATGATTGCTGTCTGTACTGATTGAACTCTTCTTTCCACCCGATTAGCAAAAGCAGTTTGAATTTCGCTTTCTTCTCTTATCTTATAAGAAACTGCACTTTTGATGGCATCAGATAATGAAGTGAACATTATGTGGAAAAAAGAGATTTCAAAGCTTCTTCGTTCATCGATGTTGATAAGACGACATGGCTGTGAGTATGCGCGTGTGTGTGTGTTTCCTAGCCCAACAGCGAACAAGGCTGTCAATTCCCTTCCTCAAAATAACATTCTCACGTTTTCTCTCTCAATTGTTGTGACCTTTGAAGAATAAAATGAGCCAGAAGTTCATAAAAGTTGCTCCAAATGTGTGAATATGGGATTTGATTTGTAGCATAAGCTTATTGAATATGTGAGAATATAATGATAACGTGTGTATATGTGTGTGTGTGCATGGATGGATGCATAGATGTGGAATTGAATGACAATGGTTTTATAATCTCATTGATGAGGATTTGCTCCCATTATGGAAACGAGGGCACTTTTTATAAAAGAAAAAATGTCTGAGAGAAGAAAAAGGGGGGAAGAAGACGACGATAACAGGGACGACGACGATGAAGAAGAAGAAGAAGAAGAAGAAGAAAAAGATGGAAGACGTTTTTCTGTCTCTTTCTCTCTCTCTCCCTCTACTTACACTTCTTTTCGAAAAAATCTAAAGGGGATTGAAGCTTTGTTTCAGCCCCTACAATTAGAGAGCTGGTTGGTTGGCTGGCTGGCTGGCTCTACAAGGATGTTCGATGCTCAACCAGAAATTATATTTATAATAGTAGTTATAATAACAACTAATAGTAATAATAATAATGGAATAGAGAAATCTAATAATAAGATCAACCGTCT